TATTACGTTATATATCACAACTTATACTGTCTACGAATGACATTACTAACCATTATGAAGCATCCCTACGTGAAAAGTTTAAGATATTAAAGGAAAGATCTACCTGGACAATCATTCAACATAATTTATGGGTAGATAAAGTTTCTTTATCAAAACTTTATAAACATTAACACAATAACATACTGTCAGGGCATTTATTACACTGTATACTGCACTAGTCACAAGGTATTTGTTACGTCATAAAGTCTACTGCATGGCATGCGAGCAGTTTCCATACAAAAATCGTAGTAACTTAATCATTATTTTTTATTACGCTCACTTACCAAAATTTGAATGATACACATCAATATTCGGCTCGTCACACAAATCATGGAAATTCCATCATGTTCTAAACATAGAATAACCCTTAGTTATGAGGCCTCATATGGGGTACCGAAATTATCCATTAATTTGTATGAAGAGAAGTAGTTCCCGTACATAAAATTTAACCCATTATTATTATACAATTTTATTATATCGGACCTATTTTTCATTTATAATTGTTGAACAGACCATTTTCTAAGAGATAAATAGATGTAATTCAGAAAATAGAAAGAAGACTTAACGCGTGTATCTATTACCCGGTACCGTTACCCCCAACGCATTCACATGCGATGGCATGCTTGTATGCATGATATTTTACGCATCAAAGCCATAAAATTATTTTATATAGTAATATTGGTCAAAATTCTGATAAATAAACAAGTTTTCATCACATTGCCTTCTTATCTGTAAACAGCTGGTATTAGTGGAAACCCCTTTAACATGCCTCACGTGTAAGTATGTTTGCGCATGCGCGCAAAGACGGAATTCCCCCTATAAAACAAGGTCACGTTTTGACAACGCACAGGTGAAAGTGATTTAAAATGAGACTTTTTATACGTACTGCCGAACTGACACTTAAATTTTGTCTCGTGTATGTATCTGCTTGATTTGAAATGAATTTTTGAAGAATGCATGTAAAAATCAAGCGTTTAAATGAAAAATACGGGTACTGCTTCTGTACGGGAACTGCTCGAATGCCAGTAGTGATGGCGTGTTCAAATAATATTTGTTTTTATTAGGCTTAATAAACCTACTGCAGTATTGAAAAATAGTATCAACAATGTCTTTAGTAGGATCACTTTTTCACAGACCTTTCTCTGCCTTTAAGCCTACAATATCGGTAATAGATCTAGATTGTCTAAATCTCGTGGTCGTAATAAAAATTGAAAAATTGGTTTGTTAGATAAATTCAACACAATATTAAAGATAATAAAGAAAAGCAACTCTACCTTCAGCTACTTTAAAAAACACAAAAATGAAGTCTTTTTGCCATGTTTGCTCAAAACCGCTACATAATTATTTCTCCAATATTTTCCGTGTTAGTTCACGGCAGCTTCAGGAGCTCGGATACTGGATCGAAAAGGAATTTGCGCGTGTGTGTATTTGCATTTAATTTATAATCGCCACCGGTTGCCCATATGGGCGAGTCCTCCAGAAGAGTATTAGTCATTTTATTTTTTTGGAGGATAGTGCAATTACAGATACAGAAAGATGCCCCAATTCCAGAAGCTTCTCCTGGTTCTTTAGCGTGCCAAGTGTTTAAGCACCCATACACGGGACTTCGATTTAAAGTCTCATCCGAAAGACTGATTAGTAATTCTAGTTGGCCAGCCCGGGAATCGAACCCACAATGTCGAGATTACAAGTCTCGCGCTCTAACCGATTGAGCTATGCGGGCTGGCTAATTTGCAGAAGCGTGCTCAGTTTATATACCCAGTCTACTAAGCATGCGCGAACGAGATTGAATGACTTGTTAGGAGGAGGAGCCAAATATACAGGTCATTGCAAAAATACTGTGACGTATAGTGTAAAAATAAAGAGTTTAAACTCAAGCGCTTAAACTGAATATTAATAAAATACAATGTAAGAAAATACTGACATAAATGTTAGATATAAAACACTACACACTTGTATTTACGTATAAACAATACCCTTAACAACAATGTGAGATATTTGTCATTAATATATTATAATCGAAAGAAAGGTTAAAAAAGAAAGTAAAACTCTAAAGGTAATGAAAACATCTCATTTAATTTAAATCAGTATGCCTCATGATTCATGCTTATTTTCATGAAAATTTTGAAAATGTATTTAAAATTAAAATATTGTAATGTGAACAAAGAAAATATTTTTTCGTATTGCAAACGGCGGATACAATTCATGTAAAATTACAAAACAAATAGGTCATAATAGGGGGAAAACACGCTAATTAGCGGGCGCGCGTGGCGAAGTTTAATAAAAGATCAGATAATTGAAATTAATGTTCAGATTTAATAAAATTTTTCCCTGCGCCCCTGCTAAATAGCGAAATGTCGAGAATAAATAAATTCAAATACCGGGGCGCGGAGCGAAAACAAGTTGATAAGCGGGGCGCTAATACGAGCACCCCCACAAAGTTTTATTCATCAAACTTCGCCCCGGGTCCTTGCTAATTAGCGACTTTTCGCTCCGCACTCCTGCAATTTTAACTTTTTTTTAATGCGTTTATTTAAGGTCGCCTCCGGAAAGCCCATATGGGCGACCGTACACTCAAGTGGAGCCATCCTGGAGCGTCCCGCTGAGATTTTTCCGTCGACTTTTTCCAGCTTTAATGGTGGAGGAAGACCCCAAGTGCCCCTTCGAGCATTATTTCAGGCACAAGCGGGCACTTGGGTAGAACCACCGACCTTCCGTAAGCCATCTGGATGGCTTCCTCACATGACTTTTAACTTTTCTGTTATAACATGTTTATATATACGAGGGTTTACGGGAAGAGCCGAGGTGTTACGATTGATAAGGATAATGACAAATCGGAAAGGTATTCCAAATGCACATTTTTTAAGAGCATTGTTTACCTAATATGCTTTTCACCATTTAAAATGAACACGAACGACAAAAAACAAACAAAAGCAAACAAAAAAAATACAAAATCAGTATTTCCGTGCGTGAACAGGACTTGAAATAACCGGTATATACTTTACAGATTTGACAAACAAGAACTTTATCACTTCATTAGGTAGATATAAGTGTTAAAATCTATATGTGCATGACTGTACACTTATTATATTTGTTTCCCATGGTGACGTTGCACTGTCGCAATTTTCAACCAGGAGGCAAACATTATAAATAGATTTTTCCAATTCATTTGTGATTTTATATATCAGATTATATTAATGAGATCGAAAAAAGAAATATGCTAGAAAAGATAATTTCATTACTAGTTTTTTATTTCTAACCTATTTGAACATTTAGTAGAGGAATCACAACGAGCTATCAACAATCTAAGTGATTATATAAAAAGGATGTAATTTGTTGGTTGAAATGCATCAGTCATTCTGTAATTCCAACTGACTACTCCACGAGGCAGTACAGGGATACCTGGACATATACCAATGTAGTACCGGATACAGGGATATATACCCAAGGTAATACGGCTATGCCTGGATATATACCCAAAGTAGTATGGGGATATCGTGATATATATCCAATATAGCATGGGGATACCGGGATATATGTCCAAGGTAGCACGGGGATTCCGGGATATATGCCCAAGGTTGTACGGGCATATATACCAAAAAGCACGGATATATACCCGACGTAGGACAGGGATACCGAGATATATGCCCAAGGTAGTACAGGGATACCGAGATATATACCCAAGGTAGTACAGGGATACCGGGATATATACCCAAGGTAGCACAGGAATACCGAGATATATGCCCAAGGTAGTACAGGGAAACCGGATATATACTCAAGGTAGCACATGGAAACCGGGATATATGCCGAAGATTACGGTAGCACAGGGAAACCGGGATATATACCCAAGGTAGTACGGGGATACCTGGATATATGCCCAAGGTAGTACGGGAATACCGGGATAAATATCCAAGGCAGTACAGGGATACCGGGATACATACCCATTGTAGCACACATGTAGCACGGGATACCGGGTTGTATGCCAAAGGCAGTACGAGAATATTGGGATATATACCAAAGGTAGTACGTGTATACCTGGATATATGCCCAAGGTAGTACAGGGATACCTGGTTATGTGCCCAAGGCAGTACAAGGATACCGGGATATATACCAAAGGCAGTACGGAGGTACCGGGATGTATGCCCAAGGCAGTAAAAGAATACCAGGTTGTACGGGGATACCTTGATATATGCCCAAGGTAGTACGTAGACACCTGGATATATGCTATAGGTAGTACTGGAATACCTGGATATATGCCCAATGCAGTACAGGGAGAGAACTGGGATATATACCTAAGGCAGTACAGGGATACCTGAATGTATGACAAGGCAGTATTTGGAATAGTAGTGTATATATTTCTTGTGTTAACTCTTAATTTTACCCCGTACTTCTCGAAGATTGGTGTGCTTTATGCGTCTAAAGCTTTCAGGGGAATAACTTCATCTGACTTATTGAAAATCAAAGAGAGATTTTCGTTGTCGTGCCAAAGTTCCAAAACATTTTCTGGGAAGGTTTTGGGAGAGGGACGAGGGCAGTTGTAGCTACAGATGACTGGGGCATTTTTTTAGATACAATACACGTAATAGCTGTTAAAAAATACAACTACAACATAGAAAATCTATCTAATATCATACACTTACCTAAACCTAGTGGATGTTCAAAATTATATATCATTGAATTAAAACTTACAATAAAATTCATATGTATCTTAAATATATCATAAAAATATCATTCGTCATTTATCTATTACAATCAAAGTTGTTGAATTATTTACCCATATTTAAACGTTTTAACAGTTTAATCACAATTAAAATTTAAAATAAGGTGAACAACATGCTTTGGTTCTCTTATTAAATCAAAATCGCATGTTTATTAAGGTACTTACTGGGCATTTATAATAAACGTTACGATTACGATTATAAAATAGTATATTGTAAGATAATTTGAGTTGTTTCACTTACTTAGCGAGTCTGTACACCCATCCTTGTCGAAATCAGGAACCAAAGAACACAGAGTAACACCGGAAAAATACTTGATAAAATCTTTTAAGGCAATCCAGAATTCACCATCGTCTTTGTTTGCATATGGTATAGCATCCGGATCAACTGTGTTCCACTCACGGCTCCTGGAATGACAGCATCGTCGCAAATAATAAAATACTAGAACTGTGTCGAAAGGACACGGATGCCCCCACTGGCAACATATATAGGGTAAATAGTGACAAAATTAACAAAGGGCCATATTTCTGTTAAATTTGGTCGCAGCAAAAATTACTTCTTTAACTTCCATCTACACATTAAGATTGTCCATCCCTGGAAGTTTAAGCAAAATCCGCCATCCGGTTTAAGAGGAGTTGCGTTCACAAAATTTCTACATAGTATATAGTGAAAAAATCAACAAAGGGCCATAATTCTGTTAAATTTGGTTGCAGCAAAAATTCCTTCCTTTGCTTTCATCTACACATTAAGGCTGTTCATACCTGGAAGTTTCAGCAAAATCTGCCATCCGGTGTAAGAGGAGTTGCGTTCACAAGATTTTAGGACGTACGGACGGACGCACGGACGGACAGACGTACGGACGGACGGACAAGTGCAACGCTTTATGCCACCCCCCTCCCATTGGTGGGGGTATAAAAACAAGTGGGCCGCGTCACGATAAAACAAACTTGCTTGATCCAGACATGAAAAAACCAACACAGGGCGTTTGCGACCAGCATAGATCCAGACCAACCTGCGCATCCGCGCAATCTGATCAGGATCCATGCTGTTCGCTATCAGTTTTTCTACTTGTCATAGGGTTGTCAAACAAACAGCATGGATCCTGATCAGACTGTGCGGATGAGCAGGCTGGTCTTGATCCATGCCGGTCGCAAACGCACTATGTTGGTTTTATTGTGACGCAGTCCAAGTGTTTATGAAAACCTCCTTTTCGTGGTACGTTTTCTTTTTTGTCTAAGGCCAATCTTCAATATTTTCTGCTCTAAGTCGATTTTCTGAATAAGGTTGTTCTGATCATGTACAGAAACGTTTTTGTTCCTAGTGTATATGTTCATATCTCTTTTTTTAATAACATGTAGATAAAAAGCATGAAATAATCTAGTTACGTGCTGGACTCGAACACACAGCGGTTAGAGTATGTAAATCGCACTCCTGTTCGACAGCCGAAATATTGCTCTCAGAATCTATACAATAATTCATTAAAAATCCCTCAGGAGTTTGCTCATACCAGCAAATATCATATTAAAGTGCTGAACAATTTTAACCTTACTAACCGCTTTTTATCGACAATTCTATGACGTAGTCCACAATCTTATTAATTATTTTGAGATTCAAAAGCTATTTCTAATTTGTTATGTATCTCAATCAGAAACCAATTAAAACCGCACATACTTATCTGACCAAGGTCCTGTCCATTCCGTATTTCCCCAAGGATTGCGAACTCTTACAAGATGTACAGTTTGTCCGTTTGAATTTACAGTGACGGCATCAGTAAGTGAGTATGCATGACCACCGACCAGACCGAATTTGTTGTTGTTTTTTTCCTGTAATTATACAAAGATAAATGTGTCCTGAGTATTGTGAAGTTTTGGAAATTTGACCATAAAAAACAACGAAACTTGAACTCCTTGTTTTAAAATCAATCAACGATTCTACACATAAATAATTTATATCGAACAGCAATTCTGCACATAAATAACTTACATCAATCAGCGATTCTGAAAGTTGTAATAAAATTCCTTGTATAATTAGTGAAAGAGTTGTATACAGAATAATATCAAAATTTTGTATACATATTACAAATATAATTTGGTAAAAACTTCTGAAAAAGTTTGGGCTGAAATCCTTTAAAGTTGCGGTATTCCACAGTGGTTTACACATTTGACAAGTAATCTATGGATCGTTTATCTTCGTGGGTTCAAACCCCTGTCAGAGCCTCGTTGTTTCCTTGAGCAAGAAACTTTACACTCATTGCTCAAAACTGGTTTGTTAAGGAACAGACTCGAGGTTTAAGCACCCTACAAAATAATAGCAGCAAATTTAAAAGCAGCGTACAAAAAAAATTTTTTCACCCGCCCGCCGGCCAACCAATCGTATAACCAGTATTTTCGTCAAAAAAAAATTAGTCAAACTCGAAATCCACACAGTAACGATCTTCTTTATCCGTCTTCCACAAGACGATTTAAATCTTTTCTTTTTTTTCCAATTAAAACTTATTAAACATACCGGTACTTCAGTTGTAATCATGCTTTCACCGTGTCTGATTGCATTTTTCAAGCGTTTGTGAAGTGCTAAAGATTTTTTCCTCGTGGATCCCTCAGCATCTGCTTCAAGTGCATCATCAAAGTCAATGTACTCCGAACAACCTCCGGTAAGAGCAAGAAACGCGTCACTTGACTGACCTCCATATACCGCGTTATAATTACCGTGAAATCTATAAATAAATATGACTTTGAGGGGTCATTATGACAGACTCGGTGTAAAGTACGAAATACATCGTTGGTAAATGCATTTCTATTACGAAAACAGGTATTATCCCGATCTTGTATAATGTACTTTATACGAATAATATTATCTATCTTAGCCATTAAAGCGGGATATTACAAAGAGTAACATAAAAAGTCATGTAACAACTTCTTAAGAGGATTCAGTGCAACATTTTGACGTGCTGTCGGACTTGGTATCTACAATGTATTATTGTAGTATATTGTTTAGTATATTCATACTAACATTTTAACATTTGACAAAACCAACACAGTGTGTTTGCGACCAGCATGGATCCAGACCAGCTTGCGCATCCGCGCAATCTGATCAGGATCCATGCTGTTCGCTATTAGATCCATGCTGTTCGCTATTAGTTTCTCTACTTGTTATACGATTGGTAAGCGAACAGCATGGATCCTGATCAGACTGCGCGGATGCGCAGGCTGGTCTGGATCCATGCTGGTCGCAAACACACTGTGTTGGTTTTGTAATGACGCGGCTCATTCAAAGTTTATGTGTTGACACAAGATTAAATTCTACTTAAGTCTTCTGATAACAAATAATTTCACCGGTTTTTCTAAAATTTAAATAAAAAAATATAAAAGTTGAAACTTCCTTTAGCCAGCGTAAGGGTACGTGAATGGTAGCCCGCAATTACCGTCCATGAACAGGCTCAAATTAACTGAGCCTGAAACATTCTCATTGTTTTCGTTTTTGAGCGTTCAATAAGGCTTTTTTATTCTATTATCGTCCAAATATATCAAATGCATTTGACATAAATCTACCAACGTTCTGAATAACAATACATACAAATTCTGCGGCAAATCAAAAATTGCATGTAAAATAAGAAATATATTGAAATAATAACCAGTCACCTTGCGAAAGCCTTTTCCAGGAAAGCAGGCCACATTTCCTGTTTATCCTCTGCAGACTTGGCGCCCCATAACACGTCACCATGAATTACTGGCAGGAAATCATCAATGAATACTGTTTCCCATCCACCAAATCTGTTTGATAAAAAATACATTACCAATCATTAAAGTCTAGAAACACGAACAAAACCCTCATTCATCACATCAAGTTTAGTGTAAATTTTCGGCCATACTTGATTTACAATATCCTAGGAAGACTTAAAACTCTTTTGAATCTTCTACGTCTTCCCATCTACTAGTATATACAACTACGTGTATATGCATGAGACTGACGCCGTAAATAGTTATAGGCTTTAACCGACTTTCGCCAATCTGGTCTGTTTTCGTAGGATTCACGTAACTTGAACGATAACGTTTAAAGTTAAGTAAAAATTTAAAAAAAAAAAACAACAAAAACAAATATAATTAGATAAAGATCGTAACACTAATTGTAAATACTAGTAGTTATTATAGAATAAACAAAACCTTGTCTTCATTTTAGCTTAAAATATTTAAGCATAAATGAACCGCGTCACGACAAAACCAACATATTGGGTTTGCGACCAGCATGGATCAGACCACCCTGCGCATCCGTGCAGTCTGATCAGGATCTATGCTTTTCGCTTACAGATCCTATAACAAGTAAAGAAACTGATAGCGAACAGCATGGATCCTGATCAGACTGCGCGGATGCGCAGGCTGGTCTGGATCCATGCTGGTCGCAAACCCATTATGTTGGTTTTGTCGTGACGCGGCTCAAATGTATTTCTGAGTTGTCAGCTACCTAACAATAGAATATCATGGACAATATCTGTGAGGACGGGTGTATTTCAAGGTACTTTACAGTAAAATCATACAATCACTTGTTACTGTGAAAGTGGTTTCGTATATTTGAAGTAATAATACAAAGGCGTTGTGTAGGTTCGATCTGTATTGACTCTCGATTCAATGTGTACAAAATCTCAACAGTAATATATAAACAATAACAACATACGTCAGAAGTGACGTTGACGTCAAATAGCGCGGTAAGACGTAACGTAGATAATAGCGTACATATATGTAGTTTTCTTGCGGACATACTGGGGGCCGCGAAATGTTTAACACTTATTACACAAAGATAAAGAATATTTAAGCAGTATGTTCAGAAATAACTTATCAGCAATATCAAAGAGTAATTTAAATAAGTAAGTATCGTCTCTAAGCATTCATTTGGCAAAAATATTATGGTTATTAATCTTTAAAATACAGTTTTTTAAAGAGTCACTTTGTATGAATATAATTTCATAGTTAAAGTTCTGTAACTTCCAAAGGAAAAAGTTTCACTATCGGTCTATTGGTAACACCACTGTCTGTTCTAATTTTCGCCGACCGAACGAGTCCATCTCTCCCGAGCACGAGTTGTTCAACGACCGCCAATTTCCATTGTGCACGTGGTACGTCATCGTGAACTTGTACTACGTCACCAACTGATATGGATTGTTTATTTTTTCCGGATGTACGATGTTGTTCACGAAGAGCAGTTAGGTAATCATGTCTCCATCTCTTACGGAAGTCTTCTATGATTTTAATCTGAACTCTGGCACGTTGTGTAATGTTCTGTTGTTTCCCAAGGCTCAAACTTAGGTCCGTTTCATCAACAGTGTCATGATACGGTAATGTAGTAATGCGTCTACCATATAAAAGATGGGCTGGTGTTAATGGTTCTGGTTCTGGGCGATTGCCGGACGAGACATATGTTAACGGACGGTCATTCATAACGGCTTCTATCTCGGTTATGACAGTCTGCAAAGAGTCGTATGTAACGTAGGTACGGCCTAGGGTTTTCTTGAGTGCTGTCTTTAGAAGAACGTCATGTCTTAGCTGAGTGGTAGAGTGTAGAATTGCAGCTTCGGGCTGATTTGAAACACCGGAAGTAGCTGGTATGGTGAAACTTGCGGCATTGGGATTGAGCTTTGAGTTTGATTGCTTGGCAGATTTGTCACAGATACTTGAATGATGTTTGCGCTGACAGTGACGACATCTATTTGTGGAACGACATGTAGTCCTAGTCAGACAATGGTATGGCAACATGTGAAGCATCTAATAATGAGCAATGTAGAATATTGAGATGTTCAAAATATGTACCTATCTCATGACGATGACATTTCATTACATATTTGCTGATTTCTGACTTATAAATAGATGGATAGTCTTATTAACATTAATAACACAAAAGTTTAAAATGAGTTTTGAAAATTTAATGTTAAACTCACCTCCAGAAATTACAATAAAAATAGCCGCCTTCGGGGTTCCATGCATCCATAGGCACAACCTGAAAGTATATTATCAGATTACCAAACCCACTCTTATTACAAATATTTCCTGTAAACTATCAAAATATTCCCCACTATTAAATTTCGTTTCAATTACACCTCTGTTAATACCGTTTTCTATTTTATTATCCGGCATTAAGAGTTACATCTAGTTAATATATAAATTTGACAATTCTTGATGTAGTATAGCTAAAAAATGAAAATGAAACTGCCTTTGATAATAATTTAAGAAAATATTTGATACTTTGAGGCAACTTGTTACAATGCCTTATATTACATTTTTTTCAGTTGCTGTCGATTGATATAAGTTCGCTTTCCGCTAGGAAAATCTAATAGTATTTAATAGCGCACGGCAGTGAGGGCCTCACACATTACTTAGCCCAGAAACACTTAACAGACCGAAGCTGGAGGCTAGGGTCCATTTCATGTTTTGGGCTTACAAAGAAGTCACTATAATGATATGGGGAACAAAATATTGTGTGCTATTTTGTAAACTATATTGCACTTTTCCGGAAAAAAATCGTTGAAGGAAATCCAGGCTACATGCAACTAAATTTAAGCAGTCCGACAAAAAACGTAATTTAGTGCCCGCCAAGACGGTCTAAGTACATGTAATACTTAAATGACATTATATCAAACTAAAACACTGAGTTTTCTAGCTTACCCTGTGAAATAATTTGGGTCTATCAGCTAACATGGCGACCATAGATAGGAACCAGCAAGTTCCAGCACTTCCTTGACCTATATCATAGCGTGTGGTTCCCTCCGAAAATAGGACAGGTGCGTCTCGGAACTCCTGTAAAATTATTATAACATTTCACTGTTGTAGCGCTGATATATGTCCAAACGTCGAAAAATGTCCAAACGACGATAAATGTCCAAAAATTGACGATAAATGTCTCAATCGCCGATAAATGTCCAAAACTCCTTTAACGATAAATGTCCAAAAATTAACGAAAAATGTCGCAACAAATTAGGTGCTCATAAATGTCCAAATCGGTTAACGATAAATGTCTCAACTTTTCATATGTTAATTGCACTTATTTTTATGGTCAACAGTAATGCATCAGCCAGTTATAAAGGTTTCCATAGGGATTAAAAGTTCCGATTTAAGTAGCGTTCTCACCAGCATCCCGGCAAAGCCCAGGACCACCCCAGACGATCCGGGATGAAAATATTGTTGCAGTCTCAATAGCCCCGGTAGCACTATGGCGATACCCAATTTCCATACTTATAACAACCAGGATGAACTCCGGGCTATCCATGCAGAGTCCAGTTGAAACTAGGGATAATGCAGATAGTAAGTGGACGACGGTTGACATAACACGATATTCAAACGTTGTTAAGTCTTCGATCAAAGAGATCATAAAAGCTGAGATTCATGCTAGCACAGCCCCGGATGATGTCGGCACAATCCCGGATGATCTCGGCAGAGCCCCGGTACGGTCAGATAGAGTGCCGACAATCACCGGTAGAGCCCCGGCAGAGCCCTTGATCATCCCGGGCGTTGCCGACAGAGTTACGGACGAACCCCGGTCGTTCCTGGATCACCCGACCGACCACTTGGACTTTAGCGGGATGTTTGTGAGATTGTGAAAAAAGTTTAAAAAATGTATTTGAAAATAAGTTGATTGTTGGATACAGTCTATCTCCCTTACTATTAAAAGGGGAAAAATAAGTTGAACCGAGGTGCACTGTACTGGTGCTTTACACCGGGTACTTAAAAGAACCAGGGTCGCCTCTGGAACGGGGCGTCATCTGTATCATGCACTATCCCCCGAAAAATAATATACTAACAATCTTCAGGGGACGTTGGTCATATGGGCAACCGGTACCAACGATAAAAAAGTCAAATAAAATAAATTATTATGCCCCCCTTCGAAGAAGTGGGGGTATATTGCTTGGCCCATGTCGGTCGGTCGGTCGGATCGTCGGTCCGTGGACCATGCCATTTCCGCTCAATAACTAAACAATGCTTTGGCTGATGGTCCTCATATTTGGTATGGAGGTTGGTCATGACTAGTAGGTGACCCCATTGATTTTGGGGTCAGTAGGTCAAAGGTAAAGGTCACAGTGACCTCACCATGAAAAGCTTGTTTTTAGAAGATATTTTGTGTGTAACATTGTCTCATTGACAACTTCAGGGTTTTCTCAATTCATGGACCCATGGGTCATATTGGTTCTGCCCCATGGCAAAGATATACATGTATTCCATAACATGTTGTAAGCGTGAGACGACTTTTGCTGAATTTTGGTCGGTTCAGTGGCGTAATATTAGAAATCTGTAATATTATAAGAGAATCTAGATGGGCCAATGCTTGGTTGCACCTTCGGTTATGTACTGATGCCCTTTGTTGGTACGAGATTGCAGATATTTGGTACAGAAGACCGTTAGAAATGGCATCAGTACATTACCGAAGTTGCAACCCAGACATAACCAAGTGTAAACCAGTTAACATATGTGTAAAAACAGTTTAAAGATGAAAATATTCCTTGACAAATTGTGATAATTTCAAAATAACGTTTGTCGAATGGAGAAGAAATGTTAAAAGTTTTTGTCAACAGATTAAAATAAATATTACACAGTATTCGAATAGTAAAATTATAATTGCTATATGATGGTGTCATTTAAACATTTATATTATTATACCTCAATATATCCTTCAATGTAAAACTCCCATAGGGCTACAATGTGTTCTAATCGAATATCACACTCCTAGAATATATTTCTCGGGGAATATTTCTTATATCACCATGGAGCACAAAACTCTTACATAACTCATTCATATAGCGGTAATGCCTTAGTACCCAGTTAGCATAATATTATTTATTTCCTAGTCTGTCTGTCTGTCTGTCTGTCTGTCTGTCTGTCTGTCTGTCTGTCTGTCTCTTGTTTTTATCTATATACATTATACTATTTTGTGTATATCGAACATTTACAAATCAAAATCGCTATAATTGTGAAGTGATGATCTGTATTTTCTTTCAGGCAAAGACTGATTTTCGGTGTAATAAAATAAATAACACATGGCTGTCGGGGTGATAGAGGATATTGCAAACCCTTGAACTGGCATATTACCCTCGGCTGCGCATCGGTGTAATATACCAGTTCTCGTGTTGACAATATCCTCTATCACCCCGACAGTCATGTGTTAATTTTATATTATTATACCTCAATATATCCTTCAATGTAAAAATCCCATAGGCCTACAATGTGTTCTGATCAATACCTGTGTTCTGATCGAATATCACCCTCCTAGAGTATATTCCCCGGGGAATATTTCTTATATCACCCTGGAGCACATAACTCTTACATAACTCTGTATTCATAATAGCGATAATGCCTTAGAAACCAGTTAACATGATGCAAAAAAAAATATACATACTAAAAACATCTTTATTTAGCAAAGAATCCAACGTGGAAAGCGAAAGGTTCGTGCGAAACCGTTACAAGCTTGTACATGTTTACGTGTATAAAAGTTACTACATGTAACATGTTACTAAAATGTTATAGATAGATGATTAAAAATAATTGTAATTTTGCATCCATTAATAATAATTATAATAATTTGATTTTGTTGTTGTTATTTATTTTCTAATGAAGAAATCACGATATGTCTGTCTGTCTGTTTGTCTTGTTTTTATCAATACATTTTTGTGTTTGCAGATCAAAATCGCTATTATTTTGAAGTGTTGATCTGTATTTTCTCTTATGAATGTTTTGGAACCTTAGGTTTTTTTCAGTATAATAAAATAAATAACATATAGCTGTCGGGGTGATAGAGGATATTGCCAGCCCTTGAACTGGCATATTACCCTCGGCTGCGCCTCGGGGTACAACTTCTCGGGTTGACAATATCCTCTATCACCCCGACAGCAATATGTTACATGTATTTATATACTATTATACCTCAATATAGCCTTCAATGTAAAACTCCCATAGGCCTACAATGTGTTCTGATCGAATAACACCCTCCTAGAATATATTTCCTTGGGAATATTTCTTATATCACCCTGGGGTACATAACTATTACATATCTCTGTATTGATAAAAACGATAATGCTTTAGTAACCAGTTAGCATAATGCAAAATGACAGCCATGTGTTATTTATATAAAATTGCAAAGTTAATATTTGACATATAAGTAATTTTTAAATGTACATGTTTGTATCCAACCAGCACAGGAAGAAAACATACTATTACGTCAAGTGTCTATTACGGTGGCACAGATGTGACACATGGGTGTCTTTATTTATCTTGTTCACACGAGATATTATCTTGTTCCCACGAGATATTATCTTGTTCCCACGAAATAATTATCTTGTTCCCACGAGATAATATCTTGTTCCCACGAAATAATTATAGCCAATCAGAAGCTGTAAAATGGTATATAGCAGTTACTTCCCCTTATTTAGTTGAACATTTACTTGATTATATATACATTATATTCATGTATAACCATGTAGGTTGATCTTGAAAGTGCCACACTGTAGGGACATACAAAACCTTAACTACCAATTACTGGTGTTTAATAGCGCATACCCTCATCTGGTGACGCATTTGCGTGCAAACTGATCTGGGTCGACACTGGAGGGATACATGTAAGTAGCCTTTCAAAACTCTGTATTTATAAGGCGGTGGCCCCGCAGTGGCGTTCAGTCCACCACGCGCGAATGAGTAATAATCAAATACAACTGTCTTAAATCAATGTAGCATGAGAAGGACCGTCTTCGCAGCACTTAAGAGAAAAGTCACAAAACCCATTTTACACGTGTTGCGTATATGCTTTTAACGACCATTGTTGAACCATATCCCCCGACAAGCAAATGCGTCAACCTGTCAAGGTCTGCACTGTTCGCTGTTGAATCAGTAGGTCAGATTTTAACTGTCAAAGCAGTTAACCCCTTGATTAGCTCACATGGTTTATACAGGTTAACTGCTTTGTTTGCCAGATAGAGTTGCATATTTTTCTTAACTTTTGACCACTTGACAGTAAAAGAATATGCAACTCTGTCAACGCCCACTTTCGGGACGGACACTTAGACACTCGGACGGACAAAAATATTGCACAAAAATATTGAAGAACACAAACAATGCTAAAACGTATTGCTTCGTTGAGTTAAGAAGGCACATGCCCCCCACGGCCCATCCGGATCTGCAACTGGCCATGCACAATAATGTATGATACATTTTACGTCGGGGGTTAACCAGAGGGTAAAATCACGGGTTACTTGGATTGACTGTTACATTATCCAATACAATAAATTACAAATTAACATATGAAAAGTTGAGACATTTATCGTTAACCGATTTGGACATTTATGAGCACCTAATTTGTTGCGACATTTTTCGTTAATTTTTGGACATTTATCGTTAAAGGAGTTTTGGACATTTATCGGCGATTGAGACATTTATCGTCAATTTTTGGACATTTATCGTCGTTTGGACATTTTTCGACGTTTGGACATATATCGGCGCTACAACTGTTTATGAATTTTCCTGACAAAAATTGTACCATAAATAAACAAGAGTTAAACCAGTATACTCGGAAAAAAGCAACGTAATATATCTGTTCAAATACAACATTTTTCAAAGTTCATGCCAAATCTCAAGCGATTCAATCTAGTAAAAAAAATATAAAAAAACGTTTAATATTCCACAGCATCATTGTTCAAACTAAAAGAGACTATAAGTAATAAAGTTTTTATCAATTACATGGGGTGTCTCAAAGGGTCATAAAGAACAGAAATGTATGTTTATTTACTATTGGGAGTTAAGATACTGCCAAACGAATGGTGGACCTTATTTTACAACCAAAACGCATTATGTTATATTTATTGGAGCTTCCAAATAACTAGCATAGCTTTTGTACCGAACTATTTCTAATTAAAAAGTCCATGATCTCTAGTATTTTAAAGTAACATTGGAAGTGAATCTTTAAAAATCAGGCAGTAATGCAACTGGTCCGCTACAGCCTGTCTTCGTCGTATATAGTATTTCCGTATTAGAAATTTGTGAATTTTTGCCGATTTACAAAGTGATAAGCTTCGTACTTGAAAGACAGTGTTGCATTAAAAATTTGGGACAATTTTGATATTTGAAAGGGAAAAATCGATCAGAATCGTATATTTTCTTGACTGTTAAACTAACTATATTTTTCTCAAAACACAAAGCGGCGAAATTCAAGTTTTAGATGAATGAAATGTTAAGTATGAAAATATGCATACGTGTGGTCTCTTCCATTCAAATGTTTCCCCTTCAATCGCAACTTCTGGACCAAAATCTCTATCAACAAATGGTGTTTCAGTTGGGGGGTCTGAAAAGTCTCTGTCCATCTCTTCTGGGTTTGGTCGAAAATCAATAGGATCACATTCAAAAAGACCGCTGTCATTTTGTCTATAACCGTTCTTACCCGCGTGTTTTTCTTGGGGTGGCGGAGGTGGTGGTGTAGGTTCTCGAGGAGGTGGAGTTGGCTCTCGTGGAGGCGGAGTCGGTTCCCGAGGAGGCGGAGTCGGTTCCCGAGGAGGCGGAGTTGGTTCCCGAGGAGGCGGAGTTGGTTCCCGAGGAGGCGGTGTTGGCTCTCTAGGAGGTGGAGTCGGTTCTGGAGGAGGCGGAGTTGGTTCTCGAGGAGGTGGGGTTGGTTCCCGAGGAGGTGGAGTCGGTTCCCGGGGCGGTGGAGTCGGCTGATGGGGTGTTGGAGTTCTCCTCCGCGCTTCGTGCCTAGGCGGGGCAGTGTCCGTACTACTTCCACAACCCATTCTGAAAATTAAAGAAGTTTTTGTAACATACTCTATTTTTATCCTTTTTTATTTACTTTTTAACATCTTATTAATTGGTTTTCAAACTGTAAGGTATCGTTTACTTTCATATACTACTATTGCTTATGTCATTTCACTTTTGTTTCAAATGGAAACCCCAGATAAAATGAACCAATTCCAGCTAATGCAGTCGTAAGCTTCCTTGCATTGATCAAATTTGAAATATGTTTACTTTCAATAAGTATTGATTTAGATAAGGCCTCGTGAAGACATTACAAATCACATTTTGATTGGCTGACAGCAAGGTCTAACAGCATTTGTCATGAATAACACTGAAATTACACTAACAATATCTTCTCGCGAGATTTTGATTTTAAACATAAATATAACAGCGTTATGTAGTTAATCATCTATGTTTTTCTCCACAAAATATGCATGCAACATATCTTATTCAATACTTTGTTCATAGATACTCGAATATTATAGCATTTTAATACTTTTAGCAAATCTATTTTCGTATGACTGCAAATTTGTTTACATTTAATCGGTTAAGTGCAAGATCTGTTTTCTTTACTTAATTAAGATAAATTTACTAAATCAATATTTAACTGTATACTGCTTAGTCTATAGTATATTATTTTAAGATTATTGCAACAGATTACTATATAGAGAAAACAACTTGAGAAAATCATTTTAATAGCAGTGTTAGCTTAATAAAAAATATTCAATTTTTGACGCTTTACGACATTACATAGTGAGTTAATCCATTAAATATAATCTTATTTCTATTTATTATATGACTTTACCCCAAAATAGAGAAATTGAAAAAGTGTTCGTAGGGCAAGAAAACTGTTCATGCGGTGTCCTTATTTGACCAGCTTAAAGACACATATCTCTCCAAGTGTCACGGTACTTTTATAAAGTAACGAGATTTTACATGTCTCACGTAAAACTTTAAGCACCATTCAACATTGAAATTTGTGTAATGCTTAACTTTAATCATAAATCCTCGCATGAGTCTTTCTTTGGATATCACACGCCCGTTTAACTCACAACGAGTGAAAAATGTGGGCATCTGTTATAGGTTAGAATGCACAAAACGTCACCAGAATCGACGTTTTTCAATGTTAAATTTGGTCCGGCGAGAAGTTGTCTCCAGTTTTCCAGCTACCCCAAGTGACTGCGTCGCACGGTATTTCCATCAAATTGTCGACCAACAGGCAATATCTTTACATGTGCATACTCGGAAAACACATCGCTAGCTAACTGCATTCCGATATTTTTACATAAATGTCTGTAATATTCAAAAATTATGAAAAACTCACATTGTTTATCGTGTCACACGTCCTAGATGGGTGCTCACAACGAGGAACGGAAGTTGCTCACAACATTTTAACCGATGGACATTTTTCACTCGTTGTGAGTTAAACGGGCGTGTATCAAAAACCAGCTTATTCCCGAATGGTTCCGACTACAGACATGCTGGTTCTCACATTCAACGTGCACCGCATTTGATAGCGACAATGCCGAGAGCCACGTTTGAATTTATCGAAATATTTTGTAAATGGAGTAAAACAACGGAAGTTTTGATGTTCATCTCATATATTACGTTGGTTATATTGAAGATGACCATGATGGCGGACAATAATATATACTTCAACAATGGACAAAATGATAATTTGGAAATATTGGACATGGAATAAAATGAACAGTGATTATATTGGGCTTTATATAACATAGATCTGTTATAATATTAAGTCTCTGATGGTTATGAAGATAGGTGTGGGATTTTTTTTCCAGCGAACATTTTTATCTTGTGTATTATTATAAACGTTGAAATATGACTTTTGTTCAAAACAGCGTATATAAAGTTCTTTTGATATTATCAAAAGTATTGTCAAACTTATATTTTATTATGATTTTAAGGCGTTTGAAGCTGAGCTCCATACTTGAATTGTTTGTTAGACAAAGAACATATGAGCCGTACCATGACAAAACCAACATAGTGCGTTTGCGACCGGCATGGATCCATACCAGCCTGCGCATCCGCGCAGTCTCATCAGGCTGGTCTGGATGCATGCCGCTCATTTTGTCCTCGACCTCGCCGCATACAATGTGTTATTTATTCTAGAAATCTGTATTCTTACGTCTGTAAGAAAACACTTTTGAAGAGCCATTACATAAATTGGTTTGAGGATTAGATAAGATTGTGTTTACGCTTGCCTAACATCACTACCATTTTATTTAAAAAAGAAAGCTAATTAGTTCTTTTTGTTCTAATTTTGATTCATATATAAATATTGGTGTATGTTTGTGAATGAAGAATTTATTTTAAAGTGCCGTCTGTGTGAGATATATATATTGGATAGGTATTATTAGATTTTTTAATCACCCGTTTTACGTTTCATTGATCAATACTCGTAGTCAAAGTCCAAAGTACTGATTGCAAAATTTAAATAGATCTTTACATGTCCATGTTTCAATGTTAACACACATGCAATAACAGGACACTATACGAAATTGTATTACACTGGAGTGTGATATTGAATGACGTATTCCAATAATGTAATGGTTGAATGTGTAGTTTTAATCCGACACGTTTCAGACTTGCATCTGGCTCTCGTGGATTTTACAAGAAAGGATCACACTCGGTTCTACAAATCGTTTAAGATCGGCTCTTTCCGTATATTTCTTCGGATAAGAGACTATGTCGAAGCATAACAGTCGAGAAGATCGGATTGTTGGCAGTACCTCGCTTCGTGAGATACTATCTTAATAAAATCCACTCGTATCAAATATAATTTCCAGATCATGATACTTCCAAATCGGACCACCTCGACTATTATACAAACATGATCTCGGACTTAAAGCGGACTGAAAGTAGTTGTACCACGTGTTTTTATGTAAACAAATATTAAGTTTGTAATAATTGATAATGTATATATTTGACATTTAAAGAAAAATAAGTATATTTTGGTAAATTTAAATTGAAATTATGCCTGACAACTATAACCATTTTAAAAATAGTTCGTTTAATCAATTCCGAATTAATTTCAAAAAAATATTGTACTTTAAACATATCATACAAATGGATTTTATGTACAGTACTTAATGATTCATTTTTACATGTTGCTTCAGTATTGAATGATTAAAAACAAAAAGTTCGATTTATTTGATTTATTCCTATCATATTACCAATATAACTTTACAAATAAGAACAAAGAAACTTATTCATAGTTTAGAAACGTATTTACGTATTTACTAATGGGCACGATATACATTCAATGCGTAACGGATCAACGACTTATTAAAGATTTAACTATCGTTAGTGTTCAGCAAAAAGGGTAAATTACAATATATGATATTCAACCATTGATTTTTAAAAAGAAAATATTTTTCAACTTGCTTTTGAATCTTTATTGACAGAGATAAACGTAATATTTACCGACCAAACACGCCATGCGTTTCAAATGTAAATTTCGTGTATATTTTCTAAATTAATAGAGTCATTTTAGAAATGTATACATCTCTTATATCTAGTTATGGTTAAACAAATATATAATTCGAATCCTGTGTTAAGTAAAGTTATGTTGACTCACTCACTATTTAGGAATGGCTTATCAGTTCGAGCCATATTGGGGCCACTCATGCCGTTCAGCAATTAAAACCGAACTCAGGGTAACCGTTTCGAGCTTTGTTACTCCGAGGTTAAAGTGTGTGAGCTATTTTGACAAGGGAGACCGTTTTGTTTATTTCTTGAACACGGGAGAAAAACTTAAATTATATCTTAAAATAATAATATTATGGAAATGTAAATTGCTGATATACATATGTGCAGATTATGTTCAACGGTACTTCTTAATTTTACCTGCATCATTGTAAGACACAGAAGAGAAATGTATACTTCATTCACTTAAAAATTTACAAGATACACAAATTTAACTAACTTAGCATATTTAAATCTTGTTTTGATTTTTAGATTTATCAACATATGAGTGATTTTATGGAACAACATTACCTTCCGGCTTGTCCTGTATATGTTTAAATCCTTACAGCTAATTAAGAATCAGCAGTTGCTCATATCCTGTTTTATATTACACGTATATATCTTTATAACAAATCATCAACAAATCGTGATTTTCACAACCCGCATTTACATTTTTTAAATATGACCACACATTTAAACGTTTTATATAGTTAATCCATTTCCCAATAAATAATTAGGTTATTATTCAAATGTCAGTAAAAGCTCTAAGCAACATGTCAACAAATAGTCTAAACTTTCAAGTAGCCGACAAATATCGGATTTTCACCCGGCACAAGGGAGATAATGTTTATGTCACTTTTACTAGCTTATAGGGTAGAATTACCTGTTACTTCGCTACACGGTAAACAGATATATAGCAAAATACACATTGTATTTTGAAATCCCATTTTTTTAAATGAAGATCGCGCTGTTTTACTATACATGTATATATACTTTCAGGGTATACAATTATCACATCCCTTTCAGTATATGTCACTACTCGATCAAGCACGTTTCTATATTGTAATAAAAACGATTACTATTTAAGCTTAAATATACAAGATAGTATATTTACATACCTTGATATTTAAATATCATAAAGAGGTTTAATGAGGTACACACAGACTGGAGATTTATAATCAAAGTCTTATTTGAGCCATTTTTTAAACTTCTTTTTCACGGATTCAATTAGTTTGTAATCTTTGATCTCCTTTAAATACATTAAATTTAACGGTTCTTAAATAGCGTCTCTTAAAACTGCTAACCAGTCTAACTATTTGTTAAGGTTAAATATCTTTCTATTCTTCAACTTTAAAGCTATAAAGCTATATGTGAAAATATGCTATGAATATCTGATTGGTAATACGAAACTGATATGATAGTCATATGAAAGTGATATGGCAGTTATATGAAAGTGACAAGATAATTGTATGACAATGATATGAAAGCTATATGAAAGTATCAAATTTATGTAAAAGTGGCACGACAGTGATATGAAAGTAACGTTATAGTTATACGAAAGTATCATGACAGTAATATGAAACATGAAAAAATATGACAATTATATGATTTAGATTGGCGTAATAGTTACATGAAAGTGGAATGATAGCTATATGAAAGTCATAAAGTTGCTTGAATGACATGACATAATAGTTGCATGAACACGATATGATAGTTGCATTAACGTGACATGATAGTTATATCAAAGTAACATGAATGTAATATGAAAGTTGTATGACAATAATAAGAGATTGGCATGATGATAGTGAAATGATAGTTGTATGAAAATATCATCAGAAAAAATGAAAAAGCTACAAAAACAAATATGAAAATGTCATAAAATATAAAACTGACTTAATATAAAAATGCTAAGAGAAATAGATAAATGAATGTGACATGATAGATAAATAAATGAGACATGATAGTTAAATGAATGTGCCATGATAGATAAATGAATGTGACATGATTGTTAAATGAATGTGACATGATTGTTAAATGAATGTGACTTGATAGTTAAATGAATGTGACTTGATAGATAAATGAATGTAACTTGATAGATAAATGAATGTGACATGATAGATAAATGAATGTGACATAATAGTTAATTAAATGTGACATGATAGTTAAATGAATGTGGCATGATAGTTTAATGAATGTGACATGATAGTCACATGGATGTGACATGACAGTTATACAAATGTGAAATGGTATTATGAAAATATCATATTAAGAGTATTAAGAAACTGACATGAAAATAATGTGTTTCGCAATAATAGCATGGTAATATGACTTTAAAATAATAACTTCATTACAATAATTATTATTATAGAATTTATAAAAGTGACATGAAAATAATCCGAAAGTTACATAACTATGATATGAAAGCGACATGACATTAATATAACTTAACAATATATGAAAGTGATATAACAAAAATGAAGTGACCTAATTAAAAACTGACATGATAACAATATGAAATTGATATGATTATTATATGAAAGTCACATAATAATTATAGATTTAACTTTTAAATGTATGAAAGTAACATGAAAGTAGATATTTGATGTGACTTAACCAAATCTATTTAGCTAACATTTTCTGAATATAATTAATTGATTCATACTCAGAAACTTTCGCTAAAACCTACAAACCAACAAATACTCTTTTGACTATAAGTGAACAAAATTAAACATGGACCAAAGGTTACCTTTACGTCTGATTCAGAGACGAGCTAAATATACGTGTAATTTTAAAATAAGACAATGAAATCAAAGAATCTCATTGGTCATTCTTAAATTAGTATTATAATATGATCAGAGTGTTTTAAGTCTAAAGAATACTTTTACAGACGACATGATACTGTTGTCATCATATTTTCTTTAATTTCACTCTTTAGCAAGTTTTTATTTAAGATTATTATTACAAGGAAATTATGAAAGTGTACATTTATTTTAACAGAAATGTGTGATGTTAAACATGTAATTATAAGTCAATAAATGATTTAAGAGCGCTAATGTATTCATAATGCGTAAATTCATACGTATTCCTTTGAAAGACAACGAGTAGTTCTGTTCATATAAAAACACACATATAAATGAAATGAAAGAAGTTTTGATTTCATTATAGTATTACGATGTCTCGTTAGAGCTATCGCGTCACACACAACGAAAACACGAAATAACTATTGTTGAAGGTCGAAAAAACGAAACCACGATGATGAATAGACGAAGATACGATGTGAAAAGTCGAAAGTAAGATGGTGTGAAGTCGAAAAGTACGGTAGCGGAAAAACGATATTATATCGAGTTTTATACTTTTCATTAATTTCGTTTCTTTAGTTGTTTTGAGTTATGTTTGTGTCGCGGTGGCCCTAACGGGACACCTTACATACTGTAATGAAATCGGACTACCCAAAGAGAACTTTTCTTTCATTTGTTATATTATAAGACAATCGTTTATATGCTGGTGTGCAATATCACTTTACGAATTTTCTTTTGTCTTTTATAAACGGTTTATGATAGCCTGTATTTAGTGTCGAGTACAACAAAGCCTAGAATATTATATTTAAACAAACTGGAACGTTAACCAGTTGTTCAGGTAAACAAAGTTTTGCTCTACATTTTATCGTTAAACACGCATTAATTGTAACATTTTTATAAAGATTTTATCTTATTATTTTTGCTTTAATTTCAATCTTTAACATAGCATTGTATTCATGTAGAAATAGTGTTTCCTTAATAACATTACCATAGTCTACTCTGAAGTATTGCGCATAATTGTGCACGATTTGTTCAAAACCAACATAGTGCGTTTGCGACCAGCATAGACCCAGACCAGCATGCACAATCGCGCAGTCTTATCAGAATCCATGTTGCTCGTTATCAGTTTCCCTTCTTGTTAGTAAGGGTTTGTAAGGGAACAGCATTGATCCTGATCAGACTTGCGAACGCTGGTCGCAAATGCACAATGTTGGTTTCGTCATGGCAATGCTCATATAATAAATATTTACACTTTCTGAAGGTAGTGGTACTATTTTCTTGCGGTATAACTTGTAAGTAATGGCGCAAGGAAAGAGTTTCCTTTCTAATTAAGCAGTGTATGTATTTGATTATACATCATATTGTGTTGAAAGAAATTATTGTTTAACTAAGTACTGGTATATTTATACCAGTAATTTAGTAAATTCTTAACAAATTTTGACAAAACAAAAATGCGAAAAAATGCGTTAAATCGTACTTTACTGTAAATCAACATAGTATTAAATCATTTATGCACCTATGTAACACCGCACTTTGGGGTCAAACGCACTTTGGGGTTGAACCCCAAAGTGCGTTACGCACTTTGGGGTCGGACCCCATAGTGCGTTACGCACTTTGGGGTCCAATTTCGACCCCAAAGTGCGTTAAACAGGTACATATGCATTTTTCAACATCAGGCAAACGACCGCACTTTGGGGTCAGAGAAAATTTATGTTCATTATGTTTTAAATAATATAGTGTAGTCAAAGCCAATGGTAAACAAAAATCAAGGTATTAAATAGACACAAAACATGTGCCCTGAATCAATAGGGATTTAAATGGTCTTGATTAGTAAGTGAAGAACTTTCACAAAATAAATCACCAAAAAAAGAATTTGTATCATTGCACCGCAAAACGTCCGTAACACAAAACGTACGTATATGGACGTTTTGCGGCGCATATCGTCCATATTTTTCTGACGTACATTTTGCGGCAAAAAGGCATGGTCCTGCCGCATAACGTCCATATTTTAAAGTTTATATAATTTTCGTTAATTTTGACCAGTTATTATCAGGTGTTATTGTGTGTTAATTTTAGCTCACCTGAGTATGCGCCTGTTTGTCTGTCCGTCTAAATTTAGCTTGTTACCACTCTAGCATCCACATACCCTAAGCAATATGTCCAGAGTTATCTGCCCTTGAATTACAATATCTGTTATATTTCACATTGTTACCACTCCAACGCTTTTATTTCTTCTTCAATCTTGACAATTTTCAACAGAATATCTATGACCATAAAATCTCAACAAAGTTAGATTATAGGCTAAATCTAACAAAAAAACAACAACAACAAAAATGCACTATTCGTCTTGTTAGTTCTTTCGTTTCTTCTCCATTCTTAAATTTTTTATACAGAAAATGTATAACATTATAAGGTCTCGATCAAGTTCATTTATGATCTAAAACGACTGAATATGTCAAGAGTTTTTTGACTTTGAATAATAAAAATAAAGACATATTTTAAAGTCAAATTATTGAATTGTGATAAAACTGCCATTTCTTTGTTATCAATGATCAGATGTCATTCATACATTTATGACAGGACGGACATCTTGAATAGTTCAACTATAATATTGACCTTGAAATGACCTTTACCTCAAGGTCACTATTGAATTTTGCTTAAATTACCATATCTTTGTCATTTACAGATATTTGGATATCGATGACCATTTCAGACGTAGGATTGAGTACTGATATTAGTTACCCAGATTCTGACCAAGTACATGAAATGTACTTGCTTTTAATTTGCAATATTCAATGCTATCTACCCTTGTCATGTGGAGCCTTTATAGGCAGGTGGGCGATATAAGGCCACCGTGACCTTTTTGCGTTGTTCAGTTATAAAATTACATTGTTCTATTATAAAATTACATAATGCCATTCAAACAAAACGCTTACATTACGATATTTTAAAATATGCTTTAGTTTTTATCAATAGAACACATTGAACTTCTTTTTCATCACTTCCTTAGCGGAAGAATGTTTGTTATAATATACTCCATTACACATTATCTATGTAACTTTTAGGCGAAATGTTTTGTTCTTCAGGCGATAAAATAATACTGTTTTAGTAAAGGGACGGACTTTCCGACTAACCTTTAGATAGAAACATTTTTAAAAGTTATATTTTATGACAATTTCAAACTTGCATTTACTAGATTTGTAGTTAAAAATATTTGAGCCGCGTCAATCAGAACTTAGCACTATCGTCATTTCTTTCCACATATTGATGATGTTCAAGATTTCAATCTCATCTTTGAGAAAATATATTAAAAGTTACAGGGTTAGTTACTGACCAAATATGGGGATACACGGTTCTGTAGGAAACCAAAACGGGACTCAAACCCACAGAACCGTATATTACGGTATCTAACCCTTTAACGATTCTATCACGCCGAAAATCTTCCTCATCGTAATTTAGCATAACCAGGGAGACCATACCACGTGAAAATATGTTAATACAGCAAGTTACAAGAAATATCCTTAAAAAAAGATAAACGGCGTTGATGGAAAAGATTTTCATGTATAAGAAAGAAAGAAATATAGAGCGGCAAAGCGAACGCAGTTTAGTAATTATATTTTACTTGTTATATCTGTTGCCAAACCATCACTGCCTTCTAAGCATGGCCTAAGGATTATGCGACCGAGTCATTGAAACCCCCTAACTTCATTTAAAGTGTCTGTCCAAAAATGTTGAAGCTGTTGCAACAATTTCGTCTGGCGATAATACGTCGATCAAAGAAGCACTGTCTTACATTAAGTCGCTATCTACATTTATTCAATTTCAATGAAATACCAAAGTAGAATTATAACTCAAGATGAATAAATGTCCTTGAAGTATTTCGTGAATATATTTTAATACAGAAAATATGGACGATATGCGACGCAAAGACACACTCTCGCCGCAAAACGAACCAAGTACGATATGCACCGCAAAACGTCCACATGTGTACGATATGCGACGCAAAACGTGCACAAGCGTACGTTTTTGCGGTACGGACGTTTTTGCGGTGGTTACACAGCACGCCTCCAGATTCACGCTAATTTTCATGAAGATTTTGAAAAATTTATTTGAATGTATAATATTTTGGAATAACCAAAAGGAAGCAATTTGCACGTTATCAATGCACTTTATAACTTACGTAAATTACCAAAATGTGTTGTCAAAATATGCATAAAATAGCCCTTAATGCGTTAGTAATGGAGTAGGAATATAGTTGTAAATATTGAAAACTCAGTCATTGACCGCACAAAACATGTAAAAATATTACTTGAATCTTGAATCATTTTACATTTCCTATAATCGTAGTACATATTTCTCAAGTTTGATTTTATTGAAATATTTTGACTCATCTAGAGGCATGCAGCTTTAAGCTTAAAATATGTTTTTCTAAAAATTTTCCATTTATTTTAAAAGAATGTACACCTTTCATTAACTCCATTGTTTGTAGCTAAATGCATCATTTTCCCGTTTGTTATTTACACATTTTTACAGAAATATGATTATATAAATTTCTGGGTAATCTTAGTAGACATTTCAGTGAAAAATTTGCCTCATAATATGTTAAAATAGCCATTCATTTAGCTAAATGTGACACATTAGAAACTTGACTTGGTGAAGATGCGGCTTTAAGTAGTAGTCCGTACAGGCAGTCAAAAAATATAACTATTTAAGAGTCGCACATTAAAGAGCGAGCTTCAGAATAATGTAAAATTCTCACTGGGGGTTATAGAGGGGATTGTGGGGTATCGATCTCCCCGAGGTTTAAAAATATAACATTTTAAGGCCCATTATGCTTTTATTTGTTTTTCTTCAGCTTTTTTATTTTGATGTTCTTTTATATTATCAAAAAAATACACATTGGCCAATTACCTGAACCATCTTTTTCATCTGTTGCTTTTTGACAATGATGAGTAACAGTTCTGTTATAGTGATAAGTAGTTTACATGTTTTATATGGAAGTCAAATACTACATTGTTTTGACTACTTTTATGACAAATAATTTCACATTTATCGCTACTTTATTCAGGTAACAAGCATCTTACATTTCTCTGATACCATTATTTCAACATTATAAAATTCATCTTTCTAAAGAAGTATGTAAGATTTCCCATTAAAAAAGCATCTGGCGAACGGTTGTTACGGAGGGGGAGAAATATTAACTGCATTTTAAAATGGAGTTCAACATGGCACCAAAATTTATCAAGTAAATGACTGACAAAACGGGATATTTTTCGCAGCATCTTTAAACTTTAGGAATACACGATTTCTGTACTAAAATATTTTGAACGGTGGCAAAAAAGTGACTTTGCAACTTTTTTTTGTTTTTGATACTTTTTTTTTTGTTTTTTTTTCGTACATATTTTTTGTTGTTTCTTTTTGTTTGTCATACATTTTTTTTTAGTTTTGAATACATACTTTTTTTAGTTTTGCATACATATTCTTTTTAAGTTTTGCATACATATTCTTTTTAAGTTTTGCATACATATTTTATATTTTATTTGAGTTTTTGGTACATATTTTAATTTTTGTTTTGTTTTTTACTATTTTTCGTACATAATTTTACATGACACCATTTGCAAAGTAGAGGTTTGGATAATTACGCCATTTATAAAACACCATTTTCAAACACTTCGCCATCTGTAAATTACAGTACCCCATTTGCAAACGCCATTTGCAAATACCAACATTTTCATTTTTGGAGGTATCAAAAAGATAATAACACTTTTTAGTATATATATATACATAGACATAGATATTAACATGTATATATATATTTTTTTCTAAATCAATGGAATATAAGGACCTATTTAGATCTTTTATTGTGCATTAATGTAATACACCAGTCATTTGTAACCACCTTCCTTGCCCCCAGGGGAGTGCGGGTTAAAAAAGAATCGTGTGATGTCTGCGCTGTTCCGGGGCATAAGGCAGGAATGTTATTATCTGAATATCCCCAGCAGGGCGAAGATTTTACCAGTGGTCGGCTTGGTTTAAAGTCAATGCCCCTCCCCCCGCTATACTCAGGGGGTGGGGTTGAGTGGTGCATATTCATTCACCAATCAACAGCCTTTTCCAAATAGACACTAATATAATAGTAGATAATAATTTTAAAAAATACACTAATTATATAAAATACATATGATTTAAAAAAAAATGGGCCGAAAAAAGGTCGGCCGAAACCAGACTTGTGCGACCAAAAAACGATTGGGCCGATTCCAAAAAATGGGCCGAAATGTGACCAAACTACTGTCAACTATGGGCTGTTATGAGATGTGAAGGCTGTTTTGATTGGCTAAAATATGTACGAAAAACCAAAATAAAAAATGTACGAAAAACTTTAATAAAATATGAATGCAAAGCTCAAAAAAAAAAAAAATATGAATGCAAAACTGAAAAAAAAATATGTATGCAAAACTTAAATAAAAATATGTATGCAAAACTTAAATAAAAATAAATGCAAATGTCACTTTTATGCCGCCGTAATTTTGTTATATGAACAAATTATTATTATTATTGGATATTTTAAGTGGTAAAATTAATGAAACTTTTATCACTTAAGCATCATCAAAGTATTGACCGCCATCTTGATTTCCACCTCAAATATTTCAATGTCGAAGATCGAAAATAAGTCAGTTCTCAGTATTTAAGCAGAACTCAGATTACACCTTTAGACCTCTGGAACCCAAAGTGCGTTGATATGTAGCATATTAACGCACTTTGGGGTCAATTTCTCGATTTTGACCCCAAAGTGCGTTTGACCCCAAAGTGCGGTGCGAAGTTTAACGCACTTTGGGGTCGGACCCCAAAGTGCGTTTGACCCCAAAGTGCGGTGTTACACACCTACATAAATATAGACGTTTTTATTCAAGAAGTTTCAAAACAAAGCAATTACTGTAATATAACGTTAAACAGTTATATTCTGCATTTTATCTCTGATATGCTTGTAGTAGTAAGGTCGTAGTAGCTTTTACTTATGTTTTAAATGAAATATCTACCATAATATTGTGTTATTGTCACAGTTTCTCGACCATATCCGACGATTTTCGGTGAACACCAAATAGTCAACGTATCAAGCGGATAAAACAGACATGTGGCAGATGCGCAAACTCTCGCCAAGGGTGAGGCTACACGTGATTTTCGTGTCGGACGAAGAAGGAAATCAGTACTCGTTTCCGGTAGAACGCGGAAACTTTTCGCTCGATCTCTTAAGTAAGTACTAAAATTATGGACAACGTCTGGTTTGTATAAAAGTACATGAACATTGATCGATTTATAGAAGACGGATTGTATGAAATTATGTCACAGGATCGAACCATTTATGAACACCGCCGTAAACGCCTTGTTTCTAAAACAAAATCTGATATCCGGTCTAGATTCGTTTTATATATTTACATTGATTTTAAATAACGTTGTCGAATTTTAATCATTTTGAAAATATAAAATACCATAGATGTTTTCCTTTATATTTGCTGAGTGGAACAGCTCTCGTGATAAAATGATATTATTCTAATATAAATCTCTATGGATAAACGTTTATTAGTTCAAACTTATGTGAAACGTTCTCGCTATTATTACTAATCACTGTTGACTGAACAGTTCTGGTGTCAGGAGAAAATATGATGACATGAAGTTGATCGGCAAACAGCACAAACATTTAGCCACTTCTAACCATGGTCACCTCTCTCTTATAAAATTTAAAGGTTTTTGCTGATTTATTTTATAATCTGTATATTACTAAGATATGAAGCTACAGACATCAGTTATATTGCACGTACATTACTTTTATTACAATATTAAAGGTAACAGAAAAACGATAACCTCGAAAACTGACTGCTTTATATGCGGTAAAAGTGGAATGATTAAATGAACACATTGGCATGCAGTTAATTGTCCCCCGCCTTTTCGAAGGGGTATTTAGAAATAGGCTCCGTCCGTCCGTCCGTCACACTTTTGTGTCCGGTCCATAACTTTGTCATTTAGCAAATGAATCTGAAATAACTTAGCACAATTGTTTGTTATAATAAGACAATGTGTCATGCGCTACAACCAGACCCTTACCTTCACGTTCAAGGTCGCACTTGCTCATTCAAGGTCAACATTGTCTATTTGAGGTTATATGTCATATCCGGTCCATAACTTTCTTATCTTTGAAGGGATTTTGTAAATACTTGCCACAATTGTTCATAATATTGCGACGATGTGTCATACGCAACATCCGGTCACCTACCTCCAAGTTCAAGGTCACTCTTAGAGGTCAAAAAATAACATATTCTGTTTTAGGGTATACTTTGAGTGCAATCTAGAACTTCTTCAGGTTTTGAAATAACTTGGCACAAATTGTCACAATAATAAGAGGATATGTCAAGAACAACACCGGCAACCCTACCTGCATGGTCAAGGTCACACTTATAGGTCAAAGGTTAACTGATGCTGTTATATGGTATATTTTGTGTCCCGTATATAACTTCTTCATAGATCAAGGGATTTTGAATATACTTGGAACAAAGAGTCACAATCATAAGATGATATGTCATGTGTAACACCTGTGTCCCTACCTCCAAAGTCAAGGTCAAACTTTGAGGTCAAAGATTTACATAGTGTGTTATAGGGTATATTTGTGTCCAGTCCATACTTTTTTCATAAATCAAGGGATTTTGAAAATACTTTGCACAAATAATCACAATAATAAGATGATATGTCAGGCGCAAAACATAGGTCAAGATTAACTTAGTCTGTAATAGGGTTTATTTTGTGTCCGATCTATAACTTTTTCATAGTTCAAAGGATTTTGAAAATACTTTGCACACATAATTACAATATTAAGACGATATGTCATGCACAACACCTGCACCCCTACCTCCAAGGTCAAGATCTACATTTAGAGGTCAAATCTTTTAATGCATTTGCAGATCTAGCATTGATCATCATTTTGGACTAACAGTCCTTAAAACAATACCTCAATCTTTTGAAACAGCACAATTTCATGCTTCATATGAAACTTCCCCGAGGCGGGGGACGTTGGTAACTCTGTTACAAATTCTTGTTATGAATGAAGTTTCTCTCAATATAGGACTATTATATCAGAAACGGCTTATATTTTCAAGGATTGACATTTCCATTAGCTAGAGGTCTAGCGTACCATGATGTGTTTCAAGGAAAGAAAGGGGCAACGAAGCTTGTTAAGTTAAATAAAGGATCTTTTATAGAGCCGGATGGTGGCTGGTTTGCAGAGGGCCGAAAATATTTTATACGTAGAGGTATTACTTTTTTAATCAGAATAATTTCGTTCACAAATGCTTTTGTTCAAGTCAGTTGTTTGTAATGTACTTTGCATATATAGATATATAATTTCTTAATTTTACGAAGATAAGTAAATTTAGTTTTCTATATTAACTATGAATTATTGAAACAAGTTTCCAAAAAGAAATTTATGAAATCAGTAATTTTGTCTGACTTGATATACCATCTATCTTTTTCTTCTTTTTTCGTGAACAAAAACAAAGAGAATGAAAAAATAGTTAAATCCTTTATTTCCTAAAATCTTTCATATTTGAATCCACGTGGGTTTATTATTTAGACAAAGCAAATGTCGAGTCTTTTGACAAGATACAACATTCAAAAAAGTTTGTGTTCTAGGCCCTCCGGCCCAAAATACATAGTACACATACAACAATTTTGTAATATGATTGCGTCACCCTAACATTATTCAGTACATTCATATTTAATTTAGATATAAGTTCTCAACCATGCTTTGCATTATCATTATATTTCACGTTATGATAGAGTAACCAGTGTGTTTCAGAACCACGACGACGGTCAAATATCTTTGCTGTAGAAATGTTGAAGAAATACAGAGCTCTTACTCAAGGGGTTACCCTTTATTTTGATCCCGTAGAGGAGGTAATGTACACTAATCTTAACTTATTTTGCCCTTTATTGATGCACAAGAATAATACCCTCTCGCATGGAATTCAAATATAAAAGTAATAAAAAAACGCTCTAGACAATTGATTCCAAGAGGTTGGAACTTTTGTTCGCTCATACGTGACAAACCGCCACTTATAAAAGGTCATCTTTGATGATGATAAATACTTTTTAAATTAAAAAAAGACAAAAACAAACATTTCGATTGTAAATACAGGAACTTCTATGGTATTTATCATCACAAGTGCTTAATAAATATCAACATTTTTAATAATTACAGCCTACCAATGTTACAGCAGCGATTGATTTTGGCACGAGTTTCTCGGGTTACGCATACTCGTTCGCTTGGGACCCTTATACGATCTACACAAACGATTGGTCCGGCGAAGGAATGTCTGCTCCGACGGAAAAAACTCCGACCACAGTATGTTCTTTTCTGCTCTTAAGTAGCGAAAAGTTAAATTGTACTTTCTTAGTATAATGGTTCTCCTGATTACTCAAATGTTCGTATAGATTTTAAGGTAGACCACTAAAAAAACTAATGGAGTGCAAAACTGTTTGCAAAATTAAAATAAAATTTACCGTGTGTTTTATGAGTTTTGGGCATTTTTCTGAACTAAAACTTTGCTATTAGAAGGACTTTTTTTCAGAAATGGGGAAACTCCCAATAATCTTTAACATCCTTATTACTAAATTAAGTTTTCCTATTGCTCATTGTAAAGAAACAAATAATAATATTCACGAAACAAATAATACGAGCGAAATGATTGTTTCTAAACAAAATACTTATAATATGTATAAAAATGTTACCCTACCTCACCCACTTTCAACACTTATTTTGCCATTTCCCTATATAAAAAGTCTTATTCAAAATATTCCTAAAATTTCCACAATGAGGGGCTGTTTTCAAAGTCTGCCTTATTTTTTATTAAACGTTTATTGGTTGATCTTGCAAAATATAAAATACTTTTACCGTTTAGTTTTTATTTTTAAAATTATTAAACTTTGAAAATATCTGGTATCATATTTGATTTTAGATTTGGTATTATTTAGCCAAAAAATATATACCTACAATAATTATATAATTAAAATCAAACACATTTTTCTTCCATAAGGGATCTGAGAGATACATAAATAATGTTTTAAAAAACAAAGAAAAAAATTGCCTCTTCTGGGGTTTGAGCCCACGCCCCTCGGGTTCACTGCAGTTGACAAGTGATTCTAGCCTATCTGAATCAGCAGTGGTATACTCTAACATATTTTCAAAGCGGTGATATTTAGAATTATATTGGTTTAAGAATTATATTGGTTTGGTTTCGTCGTTATACCAGATAGACGGGTTTGATTTTCAGAAAAGAGCCTCCGTTAAGAGTCTAACGGCATTTTTTAGTACAAGCAGGTAGTCAATCGTTCTTACATAATTCGGGTACGCTGAATCCATTTTTTGCTCTACCGCGGCTGTACTTAAAGTCCTTGACCTTCTAAAGGTCAAATCAAAATGGCCGCCATTGTCCTTCACCATCTACTTAAAAAATTATCATTTCTGGTACATATCGTATTGTATGTCCGTTAATCTGCATGAAATAAAGTTTCAATTACTTTTAAGAATAATTGGCTGATAATCATACATGCTTTACACATTGACTGCAATGCCGGCCATCTTTGATTTCAAAATGGAGACCCTTTTTAACAAATATAAGTAAAGTGCTTTTAAACAAATGGATCCTTCTGTAGGAATGTGTATCAATAATTGTATAATGATATGAGCAACATTTCATGTCGAATTGTACACACTGTGTAGGTATACTGTACACTTTAATTTATATCATTATTTCAAACTATCACAGGTCATTCTTTTTGGACAATTAATCTTTTATCAGGTATCTGAGATCCCAAATGTCTTACATAAAACCTGCACATTTTAATTTACCATTAGATGTTTAGGTTTTCTTTTTTATTTAATAGAATAGCATTTGTGTTTACCTTTATGGACACTGGATCATTTATAATTTGAATGCCAAGAGTCAAGGTCAGTATGTAAATATTTTAAAAATTGTCTGTCATCTTCATAGGTCAGCGACTATGTCTTTGAGCCCGCATGTCTTTGCAACAATATCTATTGTACGACCCGATTAAAAATAGAAAAAAACAACAAACAACAGAATCCCTAAAAAACGATCAAAACGGCAAAATTGAAAACGTTGTAGGCTCGATTTGATTGAGCCTGTACATGGACGTTACTGGAAATTGCAAGGTACTGTCCAAGCACCCTAGCACCGGCCCTAAACAAAATTCATATATCAAAGGGGGAAATTGTGAAATTTGGAATTTAGAAACATGCGCAGATGTGTTTATACGATATGTTTTATTGTTGTATTGATATAGCTACTTTATAAAGGTTCGTATTTATTAATCAAACTTTAAACATGCCTAGACATGGCTAAAAACAGATAATCTATTTATTAATTGAAATAAACTCAAATAAATGGTAAAGTCATTTTAATCTTTATTATCTTTCACTTTGAAAAAGAAGTCTCGCAAACATGAACCATAAACAGTCTACGAGCTTGCACTGTCTTATGGTTAATGAACAATATAGAGTAAAACATCATAGGTTTACCGCGGGTATTTGATGATGGTACATACATAAAAGATTAGACAGTTAATTGATACCAATTCTGCAATTAATATATCGACGGTTTACTGCTGTTTACCCCTTATTATTAACACAGAATGATTTTATACAGCATTTTGGTTTTTTGATACTTAATCTTGTTAAATATATACTGTCGAAGCCTATGTTTTCAAATTTTATTAAATTAACTGAAAATACGATTTTTTTGCGTTTTGTCATTATTCATTGGTATGTATTCATTGTCTTAGTTAATATCAACGTCTACATTATAAGTAAGTCACTTTGTCAAGGACGCTGCGCCTTATTCTATCTCATGTTTTAATATCATTCAAGTGACTAAGATATATTCAAATCTTCATACTTATTTTGTTCTTGGCTATCTTTCAAAAATTGATGAGTATCTTATTCCATTATGATATAACATATTATTGATGTCATTTGCCACACTATAATTATTTTATCTCATATTTCTTCAGCTATCACTCCATAAAATTACTTTGGTTTTTCTTAGTGTAATTTTAGTCACTAAAATGTATACCAACTATTTTTGCACTATCCTGACAATTATGTAAAACAAAGATAAACAAGGGCGTGTCACTTGAAATGTCTCCGAAGCTCGGCCTCAGTTAAGGATCCATTACCTTTGTTGCTGGGTCGTGTTTGGGTGGCGTTCATCACCTTTCCTTGTTAATCTTGTTTTCCATTTTTTACATTGAAGGCATGGTTACTGTAGTCTTACAAGTTTTACAAAAAAAGAAACATTAAGAAGCATTCATTTATATCTTCAGTATTTCTTATTATTTTAAAAAGCATCCATGAATAAATGACAAAGATATAGACACAACCATCAATGTTCTAAATTGACCTATCTAGCTATCAACCTAGTGTTTAAACGTTACAAGTAGTCCTAATTTGCCACAAATGTATGCCTAGTTACGCTAATAGCCATCCATAATGACAGAATTCATGACCGGACATGACCTTCAAAATATTTATATGAGATGAAATATTACCTTTTATGTCTGAAATCTTACTTTATGCGACATTTCTTTTCTCACTCCAGACAAATTGTTTCAAAGTACCACGCATTTATCATTTACTCTCGCTGAATTACACATATATGGACTGGACATGACCACAAATGCACTCTCATATCATGACTTTTGAAATACAAGTGTCACCTGTGAACATTTGTCCGCTACATGTCGTCTTACAAAGAAGAGCCATATTTATCACAAATGATTTTTAATTCATCCACTAATGACAAAATCCTTAACCAGACTTTTTAGACACTTTAAGGAAATATTTTGTTCGCAGTCAAAGTATGATTTTGGTCTTTGATTTACATCATCAGCTGGGATTTACATGTGACTCATTGTCCATATGTGCCATATATTTATGCAGAATTATTTCAAAAGGCATAAATTAATGAGAAAGTTATAGATCGGACACAACCATCTTGTTATGTTTATATCATGATTTATTATATAGAAGTTTAACTGTAGACATAACCTTGCTTTTGCATTACACGACCGTTTCAAATTACACATTTACGCAAAGTTATTGTCGTTCCAGGACGGCGGCATATACAATAAACAAGATTTAAATATTTTTACCCGTACACCGCCTGCTCTAGGTCAATCAAAACAGATAATTTAATACCACATGATAACAAAATAGACGACAAAAGTCCTTACACAGGGGCCTCAACCACCATGTTCTTGTCGGGTTACCTATATAGGCAAATGAAATACCATCCTCATGCACGAAGCTCGGCACTAGTATGTAGGGGCTTCTATGGGATAAACACAATATGGAATATTTCTCTTACAAAAAGAAACATTAACTCTATTCTTCAGGAAAGTAGTCTATTTCATGAAAAAAAATAAAAGTTTTCGAATGCCAGCCTGGATGGCGATTTCTATATTACTTTTGGAAATACTAAGACTTTTTTTGAATATCAGGTCGTGCATGAAAAACTGTTGACCGGGTTCCCCACTAATGAACTTTTACAAAATTGTCTTTCTTGATAGACATTACCCTGATCTTTGGACTTTTGAATTGGCTCTCAAGCACGACAAGTCCCAGTACATGTTTTTGCGCAATTGACATTGACATAAGAAATAACCAAACAATTTTCATGGTATCCCTGTTTGAAGAATAAGTAATACTATAAGGGACATCATTCCTAATCCTATATAGGCCGTATATTTATGCTTAACTATTTCGAAATCCATCTCTTAATGACAGAATACTAAAATGAACATCTTTTTTTAAGCACTTTCAAGTCTAACTTTAGGAGTTGAGCTTCAAACCTGGGTCTTTCTAATGACATTGTATCAATGTGACACACATTATTGCAATTTATTTCAAAATCTATCCAGAAATGACATATATGGACGGGATTAAAAACGGGCAGACAGGGAAAAGCTCTTACTGAGAGATTTGTAAAGATGTCTGTTATCTTCATGTTTGTTTCTTAGTCAAAAAGCAGCCTTTTGCCTCCCATAACCAATGATTCATCCTATAGGTCGAGGTTATACGGAATTAATCTTAACGCCAAATTGTGATCGCAAATACCCCTAACTGACACAAGAGGATGCTCGGACAGATAGAAAGAATCGAATATAAAAAAAACATTGCAATTATTTTTAAAGAACATGCATTGCATTCTTAGAAGTATATAAATTACATCTAAATGACAAGATGAACGCAATTATGACTCTCATTTACGTTGTATTAGGGTATAAATTGTGACCTTTTTGCACCATAAAGTTTGTAATTTTAATTAGTATCACTGCACTAATAAAAGAAAACATTCCTGGTAATATGCCTTCTTGTGCTTCTTTACTTTTATTATAATACAATGTATAAAACTTAGGAAATTGTCAGCCATTTTGAAATCCAAGATGGCTGCCGCAATATTTTTTTGTTTGTTTTTGCATCTATTCTTCTCGTCAACACTTTAGCAGACTAAAATTAACAAAGCCTTAAATTAAAATGCCAAAAAATGTGTATATATCTCGCCCATGAGAGAATTAAAGTAAAATTAAAAAAGTCAATGGCGGCCATTTTGAAATTGATGTTTAAAGGTCAAGGACTAAAAATACAGCCGTGGTAGAGCAAAAAATGAATTCAGCGTACTCGAAATAGGTAAGTAAGCCCAACTACCTGCTTGTACTTAAAAATGCCGTTAGGATGAACATTTTCCCAAAATCAAACCAGTCTAAGACAAGTTATCTTCTTTTTTTTTGGATAAATTATGCATAAAAGTAAAGTTATAAGTGACGAGCTTCAATAGTTTATTATTATCACAGGTATTGCTATATCCAGATGGAAGATTTCATTCATTTGGATATGACGCGGAGGATGAATATGCTCTACTAGTAGATGGTGAGGTCTTCCACGACTGGTACTATTTCAGAAACTTCAAAATGAAACTATACTCTAATAAGGTATGACATCTTTGATATATTCAAAAAGGAAAAAATACAAACTTGTAATAAAAATGAAATGTAGTCTGAGGCTAAATAAGATGGAGCAAAATCTTGGTATTTCAAAATACAACCATAGTATTACGCTCACAATTGTTCAAAATATACAGAAAAATAAATTTACCTACGGGGAAGATGCTGAATTCATTTGGTTTTACAATACAGTTCATTAATAAACATTGAACAACGTCTTAGTCACAACGTAACATCTGCTAAATAAGCTACTGCCTGTAACATAGTACACCTTGCTGGTTTATTTAGGACTTGCGCAGAGACAGTGTTCTCCGAGATACTGACGGCAAACAATTCAAGGCTCTCACAATCTTTACAATGGCCATCAATTATCTACGGAAGAGATTGATACAAGACGTGCAGAGTAGAAATCGCCACGTGCACGCGGGAGATATTTCATGGGTTCTTACAGTGCCTGCTATTTGGTCTGACGCCGCTAAACAATTCATGAGAGAAGCAGCTGTCAATGTAAGTTTATTTTAATACTTTTAATATTATATATTGATATTATTGGCGACGCCGGTGAGCGGCGTCGTCTATTATGGAACGCTTTTTATTTTTGCCTATTGAAGGAGCTGTTATTATTAGCAGTTAATTTCATGTTGTGTTAATTAGTTTTATTTTGATTCGTAAAAATCAAGTAAACAAATGTGTTGTTATATTTGTATTTAATAACTTTATGTAAAAAGCATGTGCATTGTGATATTATTTTCACGAAATTGCAGGTTAAGTTTAACAGCTTGTCCCTTAGTTTTAATGACAATACTAAAACCCGGATTTCGAATATCGTTGTGGTCTAGATTGAGGCCGTATCAGTTCATTCATTCATTTATACACTTTCAAAATTTTCCTACAAGAAGAAAGTTCACCTGCAATTGAGTATAAGGATAGGTAATGGAACTGTTGTAAACGATTATCCTATTGATTTTATCCTTATTACATTTATATGTTGCGCAGAATGGTTGTTTTTACAAAGTGTACCAGTATCCGGATGTTGAAAGCTATCCGATTTTCTGCAATTACTGCTGACACATGGCCATCTATTTTTTTATGAATACTTTACCATTAATTTGCATGGTTTGATAAAACTGAACCTGCAGCATTTCATAATTTTGCTGTTTAGGGTGTTCTTTTGGGTTTCAGGTTTTCTTTATTGTAAGGGGAAGTAACTCATGTTTACTAAATTATTTGTTCTTTTCTGTCTATCTTAGGTATTACTTATAATACTATTTTTGTTGTATATAATTCACCAGTTGTAAGGTAATCAAAAGCATGTTAATGTTAATGTTAGGATTTCATATTTATTTAATATAAACTGGGAATTATTAATGTTATGTGCATACATGTATATCTTAGACAGTAGTAGATCTATATTGATATGTTGAGACTTATATTTTTTCTGCATTTAAAGAGATACAGTTATGTCATTATTATTAAAGGGATGAGACTTTCATTTAAAGTTATAAATGATAAAACATGTATTGATTGAAAATGTCCTTAAACTTGGATCAAGCAATATAATTAATAAAGTCTCAAAAAATCATATTCTGAATAGTTATTCTATTTTTTTTCTAACATGTGCATAGTTTGAAAAGGACAGCTTCTGTCTTATCTATTTGTAATGAAGGGACACCGGTCTCAACCTCCAGGTCTCCTGAGTCAACCCGACAACAGACTGTACATAGAGTAGATTGTTACTTGCCCTTGAATAAATTTGTGCACTAAATTTATAGTGGGTGATTTGTGCCACATGAAAACCAACATAGTACAAAAAGTAACAAAGTGGTTTGTTTGTTGCATTTTCATGTTTTTGCCCGGTGCCCTTGATGCAAAATACAAATCAGCCTTCATAAAATTTCTTATGTTGGTCACAGGTTTGAGTTCTGGTCAAGCTCAAAGTTTTTCTCATCCTGTGACTGCATATAAGCATGAGTTCAATTTCCTATGCTCTGTAACATAAGAAATTCACGAACACAAATCGATATAGTGGGGAAATATGTTGTGGTTTAGAACTGTTTCATTATTAAAGAGAAAATGTGTAGCAGGCCGGATAGCTCAGTTGGTCTTCTGAAAGTCATGGGTTCGAGTCATGGTCAGGCAGTTTCAGTCAGGGTTTAGAAGTGGTTTTTCAATTGACACATGTTTGATTCATTTAACAGATTGCATTATTTGAAATTGACAAGGGCAGTATTGTATGATACTTTTAGATCTACAAAGGGCATTTGATACAGTTGAACACACTATACTGCACATGAAGAAGTTGTTTTTCTTCTTCTTCATGAAACTTCAAGCATCTGTCATATATAATGACATTCTTACATGGTTTAAGTCTTATCTCTGATAGTAGCTGGTTGATGTGGCTGGTACTTATTCTACTACAGTCACTGCTCTGAGTACCTATGCTGTCCCCCTGATGTTCATTTTAGGTCCTCTTTTATGTCTAATATATGTCAATTACATGTCTTCAACCCTAAGCAGTAAGCTTTTATTATAATGCACAGGCACGAGTATCAGACCTTGGAAGAAAAAATATGGCCAGATTGATAAAAAAAACCTGTGTTCATCTTAAAAGTGTCAACAACCAAAATAAAATGTAAATAATGACCCCCTTTAAAAATATACTTCAAGTTGATAGAATATTTTTAAAGGGGATCATTATTTACATTTTTTGGGGGTTTTTATAAACACAGTTTTTTTTATCAATCTGGTCATCTGGTCATATTTTTTCTTCCCAGGTCCGATACTCGTGCCTGTGATTATATGCTGATGACTCAGGAATCCTTGTGTCTCATAAAATAAATCTGAAGAAATTCTTTCTTATAGCATGAGTCTTATAAGATTGCTTAATTGACTATAAATTGTCTTTGCATCTTGGCAAGACTCTTTTTTGGTTTAAGTTTCAACTTAAACTGGCCCTAGCCTCCAGGTCACATGTAATGGTACTGCTATAAAGTACACATCTTTTGTTAAGTATTTAGGTGCAAATCTGGATCAAATTCTTTTGGCGTCGCCCTTTGATGCTTTGCATCAATGATTTTCTTGTATTTAATATTTTGGTGTTCAGAATTTTAAAGCTGCATGCATCCAGATGAGCTGAAATAGATTTCAAGAAAATCAAACTTTTGAAATATATACTTAGATTTAAAGAAAAGTAAAAAGATCTAGAATAAAAGATCAAATTTCGTTGTAATGTCTGATTAATAGCCAATTTTGTAGTATTTGTCATTATATTTATACTGCGTTGTAACGCAGTAAGGATTATTTTCCATATTTTGACTTAGATTTAAAGAAAAGTAAAAAGATCTAGAATAAAAGATCAAATTTCCTTGTAATGTGTGATTAATAGCCAATTTTGTAGTATGTGTCATTATATTTATACTGCGTTGTAACGCAGTAAGGATTATTTTCCATATTTTGACCCTTTTTAGTAATCTACATGGGTTTTAGTGCTGTTTGTCATGTGAAAATTATTTCCTTTGTTCACTTGACAATATTTTTCTTTTAAATACATTATCAATCTTATTATTCACTCATTATCATGAATCTGGATGCGTGCTGCTTCAAAAAAAGTTGCTAGAGGGCGTAATTCGACAATTTTCAACTTTAAACTATTGTTACTGTTGATCTCGTGGAGGGGTTCTTTTTTTCCTGGTTTTTCTTAGATGTACTAATATTGCCTACCTTAAAAAAATTTATGGTTAACATGTTCGATTTACATATGAAAAAATATCTTTATTATTAGATTTTGTAACAATTGATTAGGTTTCATATATGAAGGGGTCAGTGCAAGATGGTACCTAACGGTATTTAACATTATTTTGAGAAAAAGGTCATTTTATGAAATTTTAGTTTTAATTGAAATATTTTTAAATTAATTCACTAATAAGTAATGTTATTAATTATAAGAACATTTGAAACCAAAGTTGTATGTTTTACACCATTTTTGACCATTTTATTGAAAGAAAAGTTATTTTTATCAAATGTGCTTATGCAAAAACGGTTCTAAATCCTATGGAGTTAGGACCTTTGTAACTTTTAATTGCATAAAGTATTTGAGCTTAAAATTTATATATCTTTCAACTTTTCAATCAACTAAAAGGTTATCATATAACCCCTAATGTATTTGCACATTAATATTAAGCTTAAAAAAACTTAAGGCGTATCAAACAAATCATCTATTGTATACTTTGTATTTGTTACACATTCTTTAGTTGATAAATTGATAAATATTTGCTTGATTAATTAATTGATTAATTGACTGACTACAGGAAACAAAAACAAATGAGTTTTAAACATATATTCTTCATAGAAAGAAAAATAAAATTTAACATTCAAGCAAGTTAAAATATAAAAGAACCTATCTTACGCATAAAAGTTTTGTTTTTAATAATTCAGAATATAATTACATGTATTTCAAAAATATTGTGTGAAGGAACTGTAACAAATGTATTTTCACTAGACGACTACATTTAACCCATTACTTCATATACACGCCTTTTAACGCCTTTTTCACCCCCCCCCCTTTCTTGTTGTCTAAAAGGATAAAAAAATGCCTTATTTAGGCCCCAAACACTTGTTTTTGTTTGAGAAATGTTGTTAAAAAAAGTGACCTCTTTTTCGGCGCGGCCCTCCAACCAAAAGATACATCAGGGGGATGTGCCCCCTTCGTTTGGGGGGTTTGAAGGGGGGCGGAGTCCCCCTCATCGCCAAGAAAATTTTGGACTTGTGAGAGGCTGTAAATGACCCCAGATTGATCATAAGGTAACGTGTAACCAACGCTGAAAAGCATTTGACTCTATCTCAATCCATTGAGAAGTTGCAGCACTTTGAAATCAATTTTGATGAAAAAGAAATCAACGCAAAATAGTGATTTTTGGCAATTTTGAGATGTCCCCTCGTTGCCATGGTAACAGAAAATTTAAGCCTGAGCATGTTGTTGCAAGGGCAATGGTCCAGTCAACATTTGTGCCAAGTTTGATTAGTGTTGAAGCAGTTTCTATAGTATTATAGCAATTTGAACTTGTAACAGGAGACTTTTCAATGAAAACAGCCATTTTTCACAAAATGCTCATGAAGTAATGGGTTAAATAACCTAAGTTACAAATATAATAAAATACATCAGCTTTAGCTGTATAGTTTCAATATCTCAGAATATGGTCTCGAAAAATCAAACAAAAGCTACTAGAACATGCCTTTGTCGCTAAAATGTAAAATATTTAATACAATTAACATTAACTACCTAAAGCATCCTAAATGCTAAAATTTAAACATTTCCTCTTAAAAAATAAACTTTATGGTAATATACATGTATAGAAAATCTCAAACAATATTTTTAAGACTTAAATGTCTTCATGCAAAATTTTAAAAAGGGATGATATGGTATATGTGCAACAAAGGTTCTATCTCCATGAGCACAAAATTCACATAATAATATTTGTAATAATTTTCACACAAATGAACATTTCTGCAAATTAATTTGACAAAACATACAAGAAAACATTGTTGTTGTAAATTTCCATGCACATTTTGACATAAAATCAAAATATAATCACATTTTCATATATTTTTTGTCGCCTCAATACAAGAAAAAATGGATAGATTTAATGTAACAAAGGTACCAACTCCACCTTTGGAGTTAGGACCTTTGTAAAGTTCCTCCAAGAACCATTTTTACCTTAAAAACAAAGAAATGAGTAACAAAGGGAGGTTATTCTAATTCCAAATAACGTTCTTTAAATCACAAAGGTCCTAACTCAATTTCATCCAAAATTGTAGTTAGGTACCATGTTGCACTGACCCCTTCATATTCAACATATAAGTTTACTCAAAATAAACAGCCCTGTAAATGAACAAAAACAATGGATATAATATCATAAACTGAGGAATTCATATATCTATCATTTGAAGCATTTATGTGTAGCCATTACATACAGGCTAGATATTATACATTTGTGACATTTGGGGGAACAAAACCAACATAGTGGGTTTGCGACCAGCATGGATCCAGACCAGCCTGCTGTTCGCTATCAGTTTCTGTACTTGTTATAGGGTTTGTAAGCGAACAGCATGGATCGTGATCAGACTGCGCGGATGCGCAGGCTGGTCTGGATCCATGCTGGTCGCAAACCCACTATGTTGGTTTTGTCGTGACACGGCTCATATAACATGTGCCATAACTGATAGACTGCGTACAACCTTTTTTATTTAAAAGGCTGGTATACGGTCAGAAAATCTAAAGCTCGTTCTAGAACCGGAAGCAGCCTCGTTATATTGTAAGACTCTAGATGAATCTGAAATACACGTCATAAGCGGTACAAAAAGAGACAACCCGCTCGCACGTGGCAAACGTTACATTTTACTGGATCTAGGAGGTTAGTTAAACAAAACATTCATGAATTCCTAAACTCAAATCAGTTTTTAAAGTTGGTCAGTTATTCAATTATTATTTTTTTGGCTTTTGTTGTATAAAAGAAAAAAAAAATGAAATTTCATTTAAATTTTTTAAAAGGTTTTTTAGCCCCGTATATGCCCAAAACGTAAAATGTCCAAACGACGATAAATTTTCCAAAAAATTGACGAAAAATGTCTCAATCCCCGTTAAATGCCCAAAAACCCCTTTAATGTAACGTCAAAAAACAAAAAATTTTTCGAAAACAATTGGTGTCAAAAATGCCAAATAAATGTCAAAAATTTTTTAAATTTTAAATTTCACTTATTTTAGGAACAAAAAAATCATCGCCATTTTAAAAAAGTTTCCATGGGGTTTAAAAAGTCCCGATTAAGTACTTCTCACCAGCCCCCGGCAAACCCCGGGGACCCCCCCAACGACCCGGGATAAAAATTTGTTGCCCAGGGTGAATACCCCGGTGCATACGGCGATACCCAATTTCCATACTTATAACAACCCAGGATGAACTCCGGGCCATCCATGCACAGTCCAGTTGAAACTACGGATAATGCAGATAGTAAGTGGACGACGGATGACCTAACACGATTTTCAAACGTTGTTAAGTCTTCGATCAAAGAGATCATAAAAGCTAAGATCCATGCTAGCACAGTCCCGGATGATGCCGGCAGAGTCCCGGATGATCCCGGCAGAGGCCCGGTACGGTCAGATAGAGTGCCGACAATCACCGGTAGAGCCCCGGCAGAGCCCTTGATCATCCCGGACGTTGCCGACAGATTTACGGACGTACCCCGGTCGTTCCTGGATCACCCGACCGACCACCGGGACTCTAACGGGATGCTTGTGAGATTTTTAAAAAAGTTTTAAAAATGTATTTGAAAATAAGTTGATTGTTGGATACAGTCTATCTCCCTTACTATTAAAAGGGGAAAAAATAAGTTAAACCGAGGTGCATTGTACTGGTGCTTTATACCGGGCACTTAAAAGAACCAGGATCGCCTTTGGAACGGGGCGTCTTCTGTATCATGCACTATCCCCCGAAAAATAATATTCAGTAGAATCCCTACTAAAGACCACCTCGGATTTAAGACCACCCCGCTTTTAAGACCAGTTTTTAAAAGAACGGAATTTTCTGTTCTTTATGTCAATTGTTACATGATCCAGAATTAAGACCACCTCTGCCACTTATCCACTTTTAAGACCACCAAATTCAATCCCAATTCATTATTTTGTTCTTTATTTGACCTCACTATTGAGACCACTGATATTAAAGTTGACACCTACCTAGATCTTAAATGTGTTGTTATGTTGTTATTATCTGCTTGATTGCTCTTAGGCATGACACTTTATTACACAAGGTGTCAAAAACTGTTATTTATGGGATATATAATGAAAAAAAGGTGAGAAAGTTAATTTCATAGTGGTTTAATGTTGCTTTATGCACATTTGTTTGGTGGAGAAATAATGTCTGATATGATATGTGAATTATGTACATCATACAATAATTACTATTGAAATCAGAACAAAGAAAATTTGATATTAAATTTCTTCAGAAATATGTTTTCCTCCCATCAGATGTAACATTATAACATACTTTCATATTGTATTTGCAGGTTAAGATACATACTGTTTGTTCATACAAAATGACTAAAATAGGCCCTGGTCATAACGTGTGTAAGCAATAATAAGAATATCCATAATTAAGACCACCCCGCAATTAAGACCACTTTGGTCCAGTCCCGATGGTGGTCTTAATTGAGGGTTTTTCTGTACTTACAATCTTCAGGAAGGTTGGTCATATGGGCAACCGGTACCAACGATAAAAAAAAAGTCAAATAAAATAAGTTATTATGCCCCCTTCGAAGAAGTGGGGGTATATTGCTTTGCCCATGTCGGTCGTCGGTCGGTCCGTCCGTAGACCATGCCATTTCCGCTCAATAACTAGACAATGCTTTGGCTGATGGTCCTCATATTTGGTGTGGAGGTTGGTCATGACTAGTAGATGACTCCTATTGATTTTGGGGTCAGTAGGTCAAAGGTAAAGGTCACAGTGACCTCACAATGAAAAGCTTGTTTTTTAGAAGATATTTTGTGTGTAACATTGTCTCATTGACAACTACAGGGTTTACTCAATTCATGGACCCATGGTCATATTGGTTCTGCCCATGGCAATGATATACATGTATTCCATAACAAAATTTACTATGCAATTTTTATACACATTTAAAAATCTATGTTATAATATTAAATTGGCTGTGTTTAGGTGGGCATACATGTTTTACAAACATATCTTGTTAACATCTGCATTGCGCTACCCTACACTTATAGCTATATTCAGTGTCGTCACTCGAACTCAACCTCCAATCAAACTCGGGAAAGGCTTCCTTAAGGACGAATTGAGGACGCCTTGGTCAAGGTGAACTCAAGTGTAGAATTGTATTCATATTTGAAAGTCTTCCTCGACTTACCCGAGGAAGTTTGAGTAGCAAATCACCCGTACAATCACTGTTATAGGTGATCTGTTCAATCAAAATATACAATAATTACATAATTCATTATGTATATCAATTAGAGTTCAAGATAAGTATTTGATTTGAGAGTATCATAAATATGAGTTTGGTTACAGACATCATTTGTACATGCACTTTTGAAAATGATTTACAGAATAAAACGTTGACTAATGAGCAAGTGGTCTGTGTACAGTAATAATTCATCTCTATATTTAAATTATTTTCATGCTTCTACCATCAAACTCAAATAGGTCTACAGTGTATTCTGATCGAATATCACCCTCCTAGAATATATTTCTCGGGGAATATTTCTTATATCACCCTGGGGTACATAACTCTTACATAACTCTTGTGTTGATAAAAACGATAATGCTTTAGTAACCAGTTAGCATAATGCAAAATGACAGCCATGTGTTATTTATATAATATTGTTAAGTTAATATTTGACATAAAAGTAATTTTTAAATGTACATGTTTGTATCCAACCAGCACAGCAAGAAAACATACTATTACGTTAAGTGTCTATTACGGTGGCACAGATGTGACACATGGGTGTCTTTATTAATCTTGTTCACACGAGATATTATCTTGTTCCCACAAGATATTATCTTGTTCCCACGAGATATTATCTTGTTCCACGAAATAATTATCTTGTTCCCACGAGATAATATCTTGTTCCCACGAAATAATTATCTTGTTCCCATGACATTATTATAGCCAATCAGAAGCTGTAAAATAGTAATATAGCAGTTACTTCCCCTTATTTAGTTGAACATTAACTTGATTATATATACATTATATTCATGTATAACCATCCATGTAGGTTGATCTTGAAAGTGCCACACTGTAGGGACATACAAAACCTTAACTACCAATTACTGGTGTTTAATAGCGCATACCCTCATCTGGTGACGCATTTGCGTGCAAACTGATCTGGGGTCGACACTGGAGGGATACATGTAAGTAGCCTTTCAAAACTCTGTATTTATAAGGCGGTTGCCCCGCAGTGGCTTTCAGTCCACCACGCGCGAATGAGTAATAATCGAATACAAATGTCCTAAATCAATGTAGCATGAGAAGGACCGTCTTCGCAGCACTTAAGAAAAAAGTCACAAAACCCATTTAACACGTGTTGCGTATATGCTTATAACGACCATTGTCGAACCATATCCCCCGACAAGCAAATGCGTCATCCTATCAAGGTCTGCACTGTTCGCTGTTGAATCTGTAGGTCAGATTTTAACTGTCAAAGCAGTTAACCCATTGATTAGCTCACATGGTTTATACAGGTTAACTGCTTTGTTTGGCAGATAGAATTGCATATTTTTTCTTAACTTTTGACCACTTGACAGTAAAGGATATGCAACTCTGTCAACGCCCCTATACCGTTCACAAACTTTCGGGACGGACACTTAGACACTCGGACGGACAATGGCAACGCTATATGGGGCACAAAAAATATTGAAGAACACAAACAATGCTTAAACGTATTGCTTCGGTGAGTTAAGAAGGCACATGCCCCTTGCGCCCCATCGGGATCTGCAACTGGCCATGCACAATAATGTATGATAAATTTTACGTCGGGGGTAAACCAGAGGGTAAAATCACGGGTTAGTTGGATAGACTGTTACAGTATCCAATACAATAAATTACAAATTAACATATGAAAAGTTGAGACATTTATCGTTAACCGATTTGGACATTTATCAGCACCTAATTTGTTACTACATTTTTCGTTAATTTTTGGACGTTTATCGTTAAAGGAGTTTTGGACATTTATCGGCGATTGACACATTTATCGTCAATTTTTGGACATTTATCGTCGTTTGGACATTTTTCGACGTTTGGACATATATCGGCGCTATAAAAGTACATTGATTAGTAAATCGTTAAAAAAAAATTCAGGCGGAACCGCTGACATGTCGGCACACGAGATTCTCGCGGACGGGAGTCTGAAGGAGATTCACAGAGCAACTGGTGATTCCCTTGGTGGTAATAGCGTCGATGAATCATTTAACAGAACAATGAGCGAAATAGTTGGCCCAGAAAACATGCTTGATTTCTTCCAGGACTACAGACAAGATTATGTTAATTTCATGGTAGGTATCATATTGTAGCATCCACATAAGTCATTATATTTAAATCAAATACATGTTGTTTAATTCGATGAGCGCGCGTGATACTTTTGTAGTGTTGCATTCATTAGATATATATGCTAAACATTTTTACTAGAATTGTTTTGCTCTGTTTACATTTTTTTTACTTATTTTCTACTGTTTGATTCATAACAATATGCTCAAGAAAAGATGCCAGACTATCCAATTTATTCAATTTATTAAGAAAGAACTCTATACTAACAAGACAAAAACATACGACATCTAAAAACAAAGAATTTAACAGATAACTTTATCTATTTCAGCGGGATTTTGAAGGGAAGAAAAGAATGCGACTGAAAGACATTAGCAATGTTGTATTTAAATTCCCGACATCACTGGCCAATATTGTGCTTGAGAAGTCCAAGAAAACGATGGAAGAGGCGATACAAACAAGTCCACATGCTTCACAGATTAAAATAAACGGGGACAAATTAATGTTCAGTGGTAAGTCAACAATCAAATGTGTCCTAAAGCAAGATAAAATGTCCAAAAACTGACTAGAAACAATAATACAGAGATCTGCTCATTTATCCGCTTACAATAATGAGTAAGTGTGAAAGCTTTAATGGTACTTTACTGTTTTCAAGAGCAGTGATTAAATTCCATGCAAGAATACTGTGTGATTTCTATGATATCGTAATATTCAAAACAAGGGATTTCTTGCATAGAACTGTCTATTAACTCGATTTATAGATCTAAATACTTTCTTTTAAACTTACAAAACGGATAAAACAATGAAACATCCTGACTAAGAATTTAAAACAACAAAATATTCAAACTTTGGCAGTTTAGAAGGGTGTTTCCGCTGTTATTACGTGTAAAATACATTCCGAAACTGAATAGTGTCGCTATGACAAAAAACTAAACATTAAAGGTAAATGTAAAAGACTTGGATGTTTAGAAATATTTGGTTGTATATTTAAGGTGAAATGATGTATAAGCTGTTTGAAGGGACTGTTGATGGTATAGTATCATACATCAAACAAATGAAGGCCAACCAGAGACTAGAGACTGTTCACACTATTGTACTGGCTGGAGGCTTCTCTAAATGTGACCTCGTTACTGATGCCATTAAACAATCGTTTCCAGAGGATCTGATTTTATGTCCAAGTGACCCTGGGATAGCTATACTAAAGGTACAATTGACAACGAGATATTGATTTAAAACCGTTTTCGAAAATGTCAGAATTTATAGGTCACTTGATTTCTTATTTTTAGTAAAAATAGTAAATATCGTTTGCCTTATATTTGCACTTTAATTAACTTCTAATTGTTAGTGTTTTGTGTCATTTATAAATTCGTATACGGGTATACAGTTCTTTATTTGTCTGGAAGTCTAATGCCCACTTTCCTATACAGAAGCATGGTAATGCATGCCGATGTTTATCGGGTAAAACCCGCATTGGGGAAAAATTTATTTTTTTGTTTTTCCCATTATGATTTTATTTCTGCTTTGATTTCCCTGCCCTTTTGATTGTGCATTTCGTGTTTGTGAATCTTTTTTAAAAATTTTCTTTTATAAGTTTTTAACTACAAAAAACAGTTGATATTGAATACTGTTTGTGTAAGACATCGAAAAATAACTTTATTTTTTTATTTTTTTTTGTGGTGTAATTAGAAGTAAATGTGGTCAGTTCATTAATTCATGGGCGAATAATTTCGAAGTTTTGACACGAATACCCCTTGAATACAAATGCTAAACAATTTTAATATAATTTATAATATGCGCTTTCATGTCATTCGGAACTCGGCAAATGTCAGTTTTTCTAATCCCCATGTACAAAAAAACGTTTACCTTTTTAACTTCACTGTGCACTACCTTTCATAATTGATAAGTCATTCGAAGATTTAATGTACCCTCGGATAAGCTAGGAAAACCAAAACTATTTCCATTCCGGTGTATTCGCAGTCATTAAGAGTTAGAATTTAATTGCAACGTCATGTGACCGTTTTATTTCAGGGAGCGGTGTTAATGGGACAAAGACCAGAGATTATAGTTGAACGAGTTGCCCGCTACACGTACGGTGTTAGTTATGCTAGAAAACCATTCTACGAAGGCAAGTATATATGTACACTAGTAAATATTGCAACAACACATCAGTATTCACAATCAACGGAAATTCATTATAACATAATGTGTTTACATATAAGATATTTTTTCTATTTTTATTACAAGTCCTTGCACATATTGGGTATATCTTTAGATATCACTAAAATTCGTAGTTTTAGGCTGTTTTTAATAAAAAATAGTTCTAAAGCTGCTCGCCTGATGAGTAAGAATATTTACGTAAAATATCAAAGATGATTTCTTAGAATAGTAAATGAATTACACTTCATTTAATTTGTACACTTGAGAATATATTTTGTAATTAGAAAGATTCTTAAATTTCCATAACAACAAGATTAAACCTGGAAGCGTGCTTCTTAATTAACTACAGAAATCTGAGCTATATAAAATCATTATTCCTCAATGCACCCTCCTTGATAGACATATACATGTAATGTGTAGTACTGGTCGAATATCACCCTCTCTTATATCACACAGGGCATATAACTCCTACATGCCTCCATATTCAGTAGTATACCAGTTGTCTCCCCTGGACTGACTGCTTATTAACAAACGACAGTTAGTTTTGATGCAGATATTGGCTGCTTGAATAATAAACATTCCATAAATTAAAGCGTATTTATAAAGCATATATCAGTACATATCATAGTCTGCCTGCATGTCATGAAACGTTGCGCGTGAAATATTACCTTTTTAAAAGTACTCGAATAAAAATTAAATTTACTTTAAACAAGATTGCAGATGTGTGCATCGAACTATTCATTGACACCCTATCCTTAATCAAGTTAAAATAGCACAACTATATTTATTAAAATTCCAAAAAACGGTTTTGGATAAATCTCGCAAGCACGTGTTGTCGTGTTCACGTGTTGTCGTGGTCACGTGTATTATATATTTAACGTGTTGTTACAGGGTAAGATCCGGAAGAACTAAGAGCGACACGTAACGGCGAGGAATATTGTGATGATGTATTTGAGAAGTTGGTTGAAATAGGACAACCAATCAGAATAAACTGACGTGTTTACTGTCAACAGAACAAGTTTACCTACAATCACCTAGGAGCAAACAGAGGAGGCTGTATACAAAATTGTATGCTTCCATCGAGACCCAACCCGGAGTATGTAATGATGACAATTTCTGTGTTAAGATAGGGGAAATTATTCGCCATCCACCGGAAGAGGGGATGGCCAGACGTTATGCGATCAAAAATTGAAATAAAATTTGGTGAGACAGAAATGAAAGTTCGTATATTTGAGAAGCAAAGTGGTGTAGAATATAATGCAAGGGTGGATTCTTTATAAGATTTTATCACCTCAGTCAGATGTATGGGACGGATAACATTTAGCGTTGCATGTTTTATGTCGTTTTATATCAAGCAATTACGGGAACTTAAATTACTACAATAACGTCCCTTTGTGGGGTTTCCTTGGGGAAAGAATTTACTGATTTCAGGGTCCTGTACAATTAATTTCAAATTTTAATTTTAAAAAAAATCTGGATGAAAAATTCCAAGCTCTGAAAAAAAAATAGAAAGCATAATAAAATAATGCCCGGGGAATAAATTTTTGCTTTAAAATAATAATTTATTTTTAAAACCCCCTGAGTACACAAAATTTAGGGTTTCATTTTACTTTATTTAAAATTTTTTAAAAATTTTGCAAGTAGCCAGTTGAACTGCTGAAATTTGTTTTTGGACATGGTGAATTATTGATTGTCCACTTTTTGATACAGAACATGTATCCATTGGATCGCTGAAAACTTGTCATGTCAGTCCCGCCTGGCCATACGGCATTTTAATACAGAACTAGTTGACGTTAAATATTAATGTGTTAGTACAATATTAATTGTATTAAACAGTTGGTCGTGTTATATCACCACATAAAAATGAATAGTAAAATACATGTATAACTTCTCACATAAGAAGTGAATATAAGAAATTAAAAACCTTTATCCCGCGTTTTAATACTTTGACAGAATTATACGATCAAACAATGATTGAATTTTTGCAATACAGCTAATACCGACGATTCCTTTAATAATATCAGTCTACATGAACAATGAAAATACTAACTTCCGTAATATTACAGGTCATGTCATGATTGCTGAATTTCACTTCTGATTTTTTTCCTATTGTATGTACGTATAGTAACTGTTTCAAATAATACAGAAAATAAAAATACTATCTCATCTATTCATTACACTAGCGGTTATTTTTTCATATCAATTTTTACGATACATTCGTATTTATACATCATCTATTGAAAAGAAGTTTTAAAATGGAAAAAAAATATATAGTGTTCTCCTTGAAATATCATACATAATCAAATACCCTTGCACTCTCTCACGGTAGTCAAAATGTTGTTTAGTTCAAGCATAAATAAATCATGTAAAACTTTCTTAGAATTGTTAAATATTTGATTAAAGGAGTCATTTGTAAGCCACTGCAACTTAACAATATCAATCAAATACATGAACATGAAAACTTCAAAGTTAGAAATGACAAATGAATATGACAAGACAAACAAGCAAATAAACAAGTATCATCGTCGTCAAATGCGATCTGGCGCCATTACATAACTCATCCTCACAAGCACAGATTTTCACGGTTTCACCGCCTACCTCCTTGTTTTCGCAGCCAAACTTAAACGTAAAACTTTTTTCCTTCTTTAACGTACAGTTGCGGATGACATCTAAAAACACCAAGAAAGATGATGGTTACACAGCGATTTAAAAGATCGTGCATAAATTACAAACTGATATAATTTATATGATATCTTTAATTATTAGATTCTTTGATATAATGGCTTTTTAATTCAATATACTTCATTCCCCTTTATAAACAGGATCTGGTTTTATAAAGACTGATATACATGTATATCTACATCCCCTAAATAATGAGAAAATAACATAGACTATATTGTGTAAATTATTCATGTTCAATTATACGTCTGTTTTAAAAATACTTTTTTATTTATTTAAACAAAAGTGCCCCGATTGTGTTTAAAATATAATGATACACAGTTGATCCCCTGATGGTAAGTCTCGAAAGTCAACGTATGACATTTATAATGTCAATGGATTCCCAAAGAAGTCCCTTCCTGGGGAGTTTTCCCTCCGTTTAATTTTTAAGGGCGGTCATTGCCTTTCCGTTTGTTTTTCCACCCAAGACAAATCCCCTTCCGTGTACATATGAGAAGTCTGATACATTTATTGGCATTTCAAAGGAAATTAATATATAATATTTAATGATAATTAATGCGAGTAAAAAACGAAGTTAATAATACATTTGTAATTAATCTATACATGTATTTTTTATTTCTTCTTATATCAGTACAGTGCCAAAATGTCAATATGTTTGTTAAAATTCGTTTAAATTGTATGTATATGTTATTACTCGTATTTTAATGTTTTTCATATGGTGAATTATACTACATTAGAGGAGATTTTTCCGGGTTAAAACAACGGGAAGAGAAAAGTCAAACACAAGAAGGGGACTGATCGGGTGTTAAAAAATAAATAGAAGGGGCCTTGTAATCGAATGTAATTATCAAGATCCCATATCAGTGTGACTTATAAACCTTACCAAAGAAATATACAATGTACACATTATGTTGTTCATGTGTGTAAGGTACTTTATTGTTGCTTTTCAATTTTTAAGAAAAAAACAAAACAAAACAAAAAACCAGGATATAAGTTTCACATGATCTATGTTGATCAATTGTTATAATAATTACAATTATAAAAGATGTACGAAATAATCACTTCGACGTAAATTTTATAAAGATGTTCAAATATAAACATTATGACATGTTGGAATAATAACAGTATAATTTATCACATATGATTTAGTATTTAATATGGTTTGTGAAAATTGATTCGTTAATATTCATTTATGATTATTTATAAAAATTTCAGATTTACCTCCAGTGTTTGTAAAAATGATATTTACTGCAATATTCACAGTTGTCCAATAGAAAGCTCGTGTTTGATTTCGTCAATTTGAAGTGTTCACCACATACAGCACGGTGATCGGGCTTTCTCGTGTCACAGTTGTAACATTTTAAACCGTCCACTGGCCCGATTCTGTCTGTAAATTGACAATTCATTGAAACAAAGAAAATGTAAGGCAAATTCATTTGTCAGCGACAACGAGGAAATCTTTAGAAACTCACATATCAAATAAGAGTAGTTTCTTTCACACGACTCAATCTTCATTTTATCCCTAAATCAATTTTCAATTTATCAAAAATACCTGGTAAAATGTATGCATAAATTATCTCTGTCATTGTCTTAACAAAAAACAAAAAACAAAGTGAGTCCGCATGACTTACGCATAAAAGATCAATTTTCTTTAGCAATTTGCTTTCTTAATATTTACTATTTTCTATATATGACAAGTCTACCCGAGTTCAAGACTCTGTAATGGTATATGCAAGTTTATAAAGTGTAATATTCTAAAAGTATGTACAACGTTATGCGAAATCTATATATATCATATATCATACGTCTGTTTATCCTCATTGACCTTTTGGTCCAATGCAATAAAATTATTGAAATAAACTTAAACTATCGAAGGGAGAAGCAAATTTCTTAACTTGAATAAAGGTAGAAATTAAAATATCCGGCATGGCAAAAATCATCACAGAATATATTTACCCACCTATTACTATAAATAGAATTATAGTAGCTATCGATATCTCCATATATTTGACCATCCTAGAATTTATGCCAAATACAATTAAATTAAAGTAACTTTGCTCTCTCGATACTAAGTATTGCCTTTTAATTGTTTACTAATTAAACGAGCACTTTATTAATATTAACAATCACACAGTGTTGTTCCGTTGTCATTAATTTTACACAAATACTTTATCTCAGTATAAATATTGAATTTGAATATATATGGTGTCAAAATTGTTTACAGATCATACTTCTCGATTGTACAGTGAATGTATGGGGAGTTTCCGATTCAAACTTAATTGTTTAATTGAATCATTTATAACTTCCCCCGTTCTTCCCAAAAAGTCAAATAGTTATTTCCTATTTAAATATTGCTACTTATTTCGTCATGTTATTAGAATGTATTGAAAATAAAGTATAAAAAATGTTTTGTATTAATGTTGATTGTTTCTCATTAGAAAGACAATAAAATGTCAAAATATGATGAAAAATTTAGTTAAGTTTAGACTAGATAAGTTTAGTTATAAAACATTTACATTTTGTTACCATCGTATTGTACACATGAGTGTATTTGTGATAACAAAAATTGGGATTTTAATTTGATCATTTTATTGAAAATATAAAATTTCTTTTCGCATTTTAATTGCCTTTGTACAAAAAGAAAGAAATACCTAGTTTTGTAAAGTAGGAATTTGGCCTCCCTTAAATAGTCTGAAGATTATTAAGTTGACATGCTTGTAGCACAAGTACCGCTCTAACATGCACATAGTTTTTAAATACATGTGACCAAACTATGAGTATTAAAATAAAATGGTAGTACTTTTGAAAGTTATATATACATCATTTAATAATAATAATAAAAATAATAATAATAACAATCATCAAAATAATAATAATGATGATAACGATAATAGTAATAAGAGAGAATTTGTTTGAACATGGCAATCTTTTAAGGGGCTCTCGACAACAACAACAACAACAACAACAACACTACTGACAATAAGACATCAATTTGACGAATTATATGAACAAATAAAGTAAAGATACTGTAATATTTATCTGAAAGCAAGTAATTATCTGTAAAGAGTTTCTCCGGAAATTTACAATTGAATGCTCTTAAATAATAGTGATCTCCAAACAGCGACAATTTCCTGAAACATTGTGTGACTCATGTTACTGACAGATCGTAATATATCATACCACTTCAATAATAAATCCCAGAAGTTAATAACTTTAAGTTAAAAATTAAATTTAGTTGATTTAAAACATTATCTATTTAAGATCGATTGCGAAACAAGTTCTTGTAACCTATACTAATCACTTTCGAGTCAGCTTTCTGGAACTACTAGTAACCAGTACTGGTGTCATTTAAAGAAACATTGTCGTGACCCGATTTGGTCTCAAACCCATGATCCCTGGGTTGAGAGGCAGACACCTTAACAACTAGCTACCGCATAATTCAGACGTTTTAGATATAATTTACAGAGTTATACTGTGTTCAAGTTTGTTGGCGGTAGATTTGGTTTGGTAAGCTTTGTTGACTTCGCGATTACCGGCAATATGTGTGCCTATAAGAATTGCCTTATCTAAATTGCTGACTTAAGGTTAACACGACGTTAGCCATGGCTACCTCATGTTCTCAGATTTCAGATTGACACATAAATATATCTCATTGTACCCATCCCTTTCTATTGCTCATTGCCCCGTCTTCAAAATGTACTATTTTCTAGAAAAGTTTGTACAAATACTAATGCATTGCTCATTTTAACACTATGCATACTCAAAACACGTTTGACATAAATTAAAAAACTGTTCAACGCCCCTTTCTTGTACTTTAAATCTTAAACAAAAATAAAGAGGATAAACGTGGTTACAAGGAAGTTTTCATTTTAATTCTAAAACTTTTTAAATCTCTTTTTCTTTTTAAGGAAAACAGTCTTCATAATCATAACACGCCCTGTTATTACAGTTTCGTATTACCAATTGCGTTGTTTATGTTAAAGTGTTATGTCTTAAAGTAGGCATATGCTTGCAAGGAAATATGGTTTAGTATTACAGTATAACCTCTCCAGAGAGGCCATCATTAAACAATAATCCCTTTTTTAACAAATATTTAATGGCACTATGTATTCATACCGTGTTTACCTATAGTGTAAATTGTAGAGTTTTTTACTTCGTTTGTACTTAAAAATGTTTATATTTTAATCGTATAAAAATTGTGTAAGCAATAATCAATATTTTGAAAATAAAATTTGAGCATAATTTATCTTTAATATGCAACGATAGTTTATCTAGATTTTAGATATTACAATTGACAATAATGTTCAACAGATCAATGCTATAGGTACAAGAAGTCGGATTTGCCATGTAGATGTCAATGAGGCGACAATGGTTCATAAGAGTTGTATTTTTCTGAAATATTAGTGAGCACTTTACTAGAAAGTATTTTGAATGAACAGATGTGATTCATATTACATTTTCCTCATTTACAATTAATCATTTTCGTCGTAATAAATTCACGGGAAGTGTTCAGCATTAAATAAAATCATTTGCAGACTTTGTTACTTCCGATTCAAAAGTATCTTTTTTAAAATACTTTTTTTAAGAAAATTTATCAAAAAAATGCAAGAGTTGCTGTAATTGTTTAACGCAGAAACAGCGATGGATTTAGATTTCTTATATGCCGTTATGTTTTCTTTATTTTCTGCAAGCCGGGGAACTTACGATTACGGTACGAATCTTTTATTTTTAGTTGTATTTAAAATTATATTAATGTTTTTAACATCTTTTATGACTGTTTCCTTTAATTCAACTTGTAAAATAATGCAAATCATATCTCCTGATAGGCTAATAAATGATATAAACTAATTATTATTATACAACCACTTACATGTATATATATTTTCAATTGCTAAACAATGAATCCATTTAGTTTTGACTGATACCGGTACCTCTTTAATTGTTGCAATCTTCACAACAGATGCTATCGGAACTCGGCAAATGTTCTTGTCTTTTCCTATCTTAGCTGGCTGTACAAACATGCACTACCGTGTACCGTAGCACGGGGGTGGAACCCCATATGAATCTCAAAAATGAGCATCGGTAAAAATGATATGTGAATTTCCGCTGCACCAGATGTGAAGCATAACACTAGATGTGACTGGAAAAATAGGCGGATCGCAGGGTAAGTTTTCATCTTTTTTTAACATTTATATAAAAATCAGTCCTTTTTTTAAGAAAATCGAAATGTGATTCTACCCTCCTGACTCTCTTCTATATAACCCCTTGTTGTTTTGGATTTCTATGCAGTCTTCGACGAGATATTCTTTCCGTCGTGGGTTCTGGTTTGTCCAAAGCATGCAATGTGAATGAAGAAAATGTCACTAAACGGACTCAAAAAACAGAGATTTTACGAAATCGATGCTAAACATTCAAACAAACCCTGGTTTAAACATCTATTGGGATTTGGCTACATACAAGGGAATCGCTGCTCAAAATTGCCCTTGAGCTCCAGATGTGCTGAAGAGATTCATAAGTGATGTAGAAAACCATCTACAAAACTACGGACCACTTCCATATAATCATTGAATAGCTAATGTATAGAAACAATATAGGTTTTGCATCTTTGGCTGAAAGTTCAATTGTAACATTAGTGTGTTTGATTACCACAGTGACAGAGCTTACTAGCTTATGCTAGCATTAGAAATACTAAAATGCCCGAGTACATGAAAATGTTGACGTAGAGCGGATAGTACTCTTATGATAAGCAATTCACTAATAAATGATATGTAACTTGGACAAACCAAACTGAAACTATTGAACGTTGTAAGGCTATCGTGTCATAAAATATGTTTCCTTAATAATGTTTACATTCATAAAAATATCTATAACTTTAATATTCCACAAGTTATAGTTATAGGGAGAGTAAGACTAAAAAAAGGATTGGAGCACCACACTAAATACCGTATTCCGGTATATACCGGACAAGGCACTTGAATGATAAAATGCTAAATTCTTGTCTTTTTATCCAACGGAATGAACTTTAATAAGTCTAATTCATCTTTTGACACCGATTTAGGTATGATAATAAATGAAAAATGTAAAAATCGGCGAAAAAAACGATATTTGTCTATTTTGTGATCATGATTTCTGCAAGCGTCTAGTGGTACTGCTTGAGTTAAATCCCTGTTATATATGTGTAAATATCATGGCCTGATGCGACATCGAAGGTTTTTCTTCACAGAATATGGGTCGAGAACATTGTCTGTAAGGAAAACCCGAGATGCCACCCAGGTCATGATATTTCTACATAATAGTCGAGTTCGATATATTATAACTGTTTTATCGCATGATAAATAGAAATGAGAATTTTAATAAACATAACATTTCAATTTATGATTGGCTTCTCTCCTTATAAATTAAATTCCCCACCCGAAACCTCGGTTACTTTTTATGTAACGTGTCAATTATCGATATTGTAAACCTCTCATCACATGAGCCAATCAGAAGTGTGTTAGGTGTTCGATGACCAAAGACACAGAAAAACATTGCTGTAAATAATTGGACGCGCCAGTACTACACTAACCGCCGTTTTATCAGCATTTTAATGGCATGCCAAAAGATTTTTAAATTTATATCAATAATATGCAAATCTTCTTTGATCTTTTTTTAAAAGTTTATCACTAACTTTCTTACAGCATCATAACAAATTCAAACACGCTTCACATTACTCCCCTATTAAAGCAGACAGTGCAGTCGAGTGAATAATTAATTAATTAATTAATGCATGGTGGCATAAAAAGGGAAAGATTGCAGTACACACGACGTCAATAAGTCAAAATAAGCAAGACCTTCCCACCATATCTACGTATTTTCAAAACCTGTCGTATGCAGAATGTCTTATATCTCTTTCTATATATATGGATACTATGCTATTCAAGCTCGTCTCGTGAAAATGTGTCTATTTCGGATAATAGTATTTATCACAGAATGATACACAATAGAATAAATTCTAGATTGCTGTATGAAAGTGATGCGTAATTATGTTGCTATTTTTTATGTTATGCACATATGAATCTCTTCAGCACATCTGGAGCTCAAGTGAAATTTTGAGCAGCGATTCCCTTGTATGTAGCCAAATCTCAATAGATGTTTAAACCAGGGTTTGTTTGAATGTTTATCATCAACCTGTAGTAAGATTTCGTAAAATCTCTGTTTTTAGAGTCCGTTTAGTGACATTTTCTTCATTCACATTGCATGTTTTGGACATACCAGAACCCACGACGGAAAGAATATCTCGATGAAGACTGCATAGAAATCCAAAACAACAAGGGGTAATATAGAGGAGAGTCAGGAGGGTAGAATCACATTTCGATTTTCTTAAAAAAAGGACTGATTTCTATATAAATGTTTAAAAAGATGAAAACTTACCCTGCGATCCGCCTATTTTTCCAGTCACATCTGGTGTTATGCTTCACATCTGATGCAGCGGAAATTCACATATCATTTTTACCGATGCTCATTTTTGAGATTCATATGGGGTTCCACCCCCGTGCGTAGGGTAGTGTACGTGTTGCTTATATATAAACCATAAATAAATGCACCACTGTAGAAGTGTGTACCCAAAGGTTAGCCGGAAAATCCCGACATATTTTATATTCCGGAGTTGAAGTGAGAGTGCGTGAAGCTCAGCTTATTGTGGAGAACGCTTCAATTTTTCCACATGAGAATAACAAATTTAAAATTATTTAGTAAGACCTCGTATAACAAGATGTTATCTTCATATAAAGTGCCTCATTTTATTGGTCAAATATACACTTGGAAATAAGTTAAGCACACCCCGTTATTTAGAATTGGTTGTGATTGAAAGCACTGCCAAGAGGTGACGACTTGATTGAGCTAAGAAATAATAATTGGATAAGTAGAGATACCAATTTAGTTATCATTGTATCAACCAGTAAATTTATGAGTTTAGTTTATTCTTAACCAAATTATTGAATCATAAAGAAATGTGTTGGTTTTTTTTTACAAAAAAAAAATGTAAGTGTTTATACGTATGGCGTTGGAGCGTTTACAAAAAAAATAACTGGTGGATATTTTTGGTAAATGTTGACGATTAGGTAACCTTAAATGACATTATGTGCCAAATTTTCAATAACGTGTGTAACCGCCACGAGCCCGGATGATAGCCTCAGCCCTTTTCCCCAGACTACCAGTAAGGCGTCTAATGCGATTTTGAGATTAATTTTGCCAATCTTGGTGCTGAGCTTGTTCAAGTTGCTGCAGGTTGACTACAGGTGGTTCGTACTATAGTCCAAATAAAATTTAAAATTTCAGTTGTGGTCATGTTAACATTTTGAGGCAAATGCTGGGTGTGCTTAACTTATTTCCGGGTGTATATTTACTTCTTAAAGATGTTTGTGGCGCCGTTATATGTCGCAACGCCTCTAAATGTCGCACTTGCCGCTAAATGTCGCACCATTGCCGCTAAATGTCGCAACCGCCGCTAAATGTCGCAAAATCATTTGCCGTTAAATGTCGCAATGTTAACGTTAAATGTCGCACGAATTTCCCTTACCGTTAAATGTCGCAACACTACCGTTAAATGTCGCAAGATGTAAATTCATGTTGAACTCAAGTTTTATTGTTGTATCATATTAATTAAATCTGCCTACTCAAGACGAATTTTGTCTGTATGAAAGCGAGTGAATTTATTATATATGGAACTGCGCTACAATTTAGGCGACAATAATACTCATCTTAAATAAATGTATATTGTTTTGCGTTCGATTTTTAGCTGATCTTATGCAAGTACATATTAATAATTGTACAATTGTCTACTATTTGTATGAAACTGCAAAATTGGCATTGTTCTGTAAATAGTTTTGTACAATCATGTCTATAAAATGGCAGAAAAAGACAGGCTGCTGCTTGAGGTGGCAGTCTGATGGCCTAGTTGACTGAGGAGGCAAATTGTCTCGCTGTTGTAAGAGGAAGCCTAAATTGCTGACACCCTGGGCCTTAGGAGTTTGCCTAACGCCCTGGAAGCCTAACGTTGGCAGCCTAATATCCTGAGGAGGTCGCCTAACATCCTAACAGCCTATCGATGTCAGCTTTGCAACCTGAAGCTGACAATCTAACAGCCTAAAGTCGGCAGCCTAGTAGCTTAAAGTTAGTGACTTATATTAAAAATATGGAAACAATTTAAAATACAGTAAAATCACTATGAAAGGTCATGAAAAAGCACATACACATGCATGATTATGGAAAAAATGTCTTAACCTATAGGGCACTGAACTTTACAGTCTAATAGCCTAAAGCTGGCAGTCTAGGAGCCTGGCAGCCTAAAATTGGTGTCATGTTATAAAAAATGGAACGATCAAAATAATAAAACGGCAAGTTGGATTTTTCCTAAAATCTACTCGTACAAATGGCTTCATAATTTACACATTTATTAATCAATACAATATACTTGATCCTGGCAAGTAACATAATTATTGCATAAATTTTAATCAAGTTATGGCAATTTTCAGCAGTTTGAGAATGAATATCGTTAACCTAAACCGGCAAGTTTCATTTAAATCTTGTGTACTTATTTTAACGTTGACATCTGCTTACAGTGTGTGTATTTGCGTTTATTTATACTCGCCATCGGTTGCCCATATGGGCGAGTCCTCCAGAAGAGTATTAGTCATTTTAGATTTTGGAGGATAGTGCAATTTCAGACACAGAAAGATGCCCCATTTCCAGAAGCTTCCCCTTCTTTAACGTCCCAAGTTGTTTAAGCACCCATACACGAGACCTCGATTTAAAGTCTCATCCGAAAGACTAATTAGTAATTTTAGTAGGCCAGCCAGGGAATCGAACCCACAAGGTCGAGATTACAAGTCTCGCGCTCTAACCGATTGAGCTATGCGGGCTGGCTGCTTACAAAAATTCCGGTGCATATAATATGTGCTAATCGTAAAATTCGCTCATATCTAACGCCCGACTGCGGATCGAATACTACATAATCAAGGAGTACTACATGATAATTTTTTTTCGATTTTCGTATTGACCGTGCATTTCATACTATGTTTTTCACGTATTTGCCGTTTCTGATAAAATAAATTTTTTGCCTTGATATTCAATCAATATATCACGTTTGAAGTGAATATTTGTGATGCTTTTTTTTTTTTGGGGGGGGGGGGATATAAAAAGGTAGATAATTTAGCAAAAGTACCTTTCAAGATCATCTGTCCTTTAGAAATGCACTAGTACTTTTATATGAAATAAGTATTTTAAGTTTATATTAGTTGATATTGCATCATATGATCATAGTAAACAAATAAAAAACGTTTAAAGTAAATTCGGTAGTTTCTGAGAAAATAAATGAAATTACTTAAACCAAATTCTGAGAGCGACAATACCATAATACCTTTTATCTGTTGTCAATCAGGGTTACAATTGAAAATGGGAAATAAAAGAAAAATACTTATCTATTGAGAATTTAGTATCAATTATCCTTTCTAGCCTAAAGATTACATTATATAGCAGCTCAAAACCTCAATATTTAGGTTCATAAAAGAAAACAAGTAAAACAAAGATACTTTTGTGTAATGGCAATTACAATAAAAATAACTATGAGAATGTTAAAAAGTAATATAATACTACTTTAATCGTGATTTAAACATAAATTTACATCTTGCAACATTTAACGGTAGTGATCGTAATAACGTCGGGCTATTCGTGAAAGCATCTTTTGCCATCGTATGACCCCTGCTAAATTTTTCAGGTTCCGGCAGCAACTTCGTGAGCGGTCCCAAAATGTTTGGCATGCCAAAAAATTGCCGGAAGACATTGCGAAGGTTCATTTTCGTGTTGAATTCGTATGCCAATTTCGCGCTTCCTAAGGCCGTCGTGAAGCCATCATGTCAAATCGTGTAGTCTTTGTCTTAACTTCGTGTAATCATCGGTGCAATAGCCTCAAGAAGACAATACGAAGGAAACACGAAGATTCCGATTGTCTAAAGAATGGTACACGACTACGTGAAGCCCCAGCAATACCGTCGTGTTGCTATCGTATTTTGGTACGATGTCATCGAGATGGGACCACGATGCGTACGAAAAAAAGCAAATTGGAGTGGCTCAAGCTTGAATGTATATCATGGTGGACATATAACAGGCTAGCGTCAGACCATCTTCCTCATCTGTCAGTCTTGCACATCGCTACAGAGACATCAAAAGTTTCCATTTTTTGCAATTAATTAACAGTTATTTTCAGTTTATTTCCCTGCAGAATTTCATGCTTTGATGATGAGTCAACCGAAAAAAAGAAGGCAGCAGCATTGCTTTTTTTGCTACACCTTAGAAAACATGAAGAGCAACTCCTACATGCCAACCTTGGGTGGCATGATAAAGTATGATAAAAAGAATTAACAAGGAAAGGCGGCGTTAAATGAACGCAACCCCATCACGACCCAGCAACAAGAACTAGTGGCAAGGAGCCAAGAAGGACCCCAAACAAAAACAGGACAGAGTGCAAGGCAGAGCATGGACAGGCTTATCACTGAAATGATATATAAGAAGAAAGAATTTTAACCGACAAGTAAATCAAAGAAAACAAATAAATTATTAATTAATATGCCCACAAAGCAAGAAAACAGGGGAAGGGGGTAGGAGATTCGGGGAAGTAGGGGAAAAATTAAAGAACTAAAACTAGGGGCAAAAGGGAAGAAACATACCGTAGACGAGAATACAACAAGGGACACTAGACACATATGTCACCAAAGCAGTATGAAAAGAAACATACATCTGAGAAACACAGAGTGGTGCAGCATTGGAACGGTCAGCAGCATAAGTACTGCTGAGGAGTTTAAACTGATTAATGGTGCACCAAACCTCACTCTTAGAACTACCATGTTCCTATAAACGAGAAGTGTAAATTAAATGAATCCTGCCAAGTGAAATTCTAACAGTTGTTATTGTTACAAAAGGTGAACACTGAAATTATCATGTAGAAACATATAAAAGAAAACCCATTGACCATAACAAAAGTATGCAATGTCTTAAAGGAAGACAGAGCAAGAAGAAAATCACCTACAAGGGCCCAACGAAGCAAGGCAGAAGACGCACATTAAGGCCATTCAGTCCCAAAGGGCTTTAAGAACTGTCCATCATAGAGTATCCCACTTGGTCTGTCAGATGTAATCAAAAAAGGAAAGCGTAACGTCCAACTAAAAAAGTGTTGAACACTAAGCATGCGGTAGGTCTTCTAATAGTAGGGTCATAACCTCTTTTAATAAAAAGTTTAATAATTTTAGTAAAGACAACAGAAAAATGACAATGACCCAAGATCATACCAAGTTTGTAAATAACATCCCCATAAAAATCAGGCTGGCTAATCCCTTGTCGCAGAAGTGTTTTTAAATCACTATTGAATTTTGAAATTAAATCAAAGTTACGATTGTAAAATTTTGACGCCTTCGTAACCACATATGAAAGCATCGTACTCAAAATACGACAACGTGTACCTATCACGTGACCTTCGCGTGTCCTGCGGGTAAACTACTTGGTAAAATTTTGCATCTTTGAGGTGACTTCGTATGTGGATCGGATGCGATCGCGTGACCTTCGGTAGGAATCGTGTGTGGATCGGGTGCGATCGCGTGACCTTCTGCAGAAATTGTACTTGATTCGGCTGTTGAGGGGCTGTCGACTAATTTCGTGGCAATCTTCGCGCGAAATTTCAAATTCCATATTAGTATGCCCATCTGGTGTCAATTTCGGGACAGTGTGACGCCTGAAATTCGTGCGACATTTAACGTTAACATTGCGACATTTAACGGCAAGTGATTTTGCGACATTTAGCGGCGGTTGCGACATTAAGCGGCAATGGTGCGACATTTAGTGGCAAGTGCGACATTTAGCGACGTTGCGACATATAACGGTGCCACAATGTTTACTGATTTCTGATCATTCAATGATTAATCACAATATTGCTCTATTGACTTAGAGCCTCTTATTGCAGGATGTGTTAGTTACAAGACAGTTTTCGTACCAGTGAAATCAACAGCAATATTTCAAACATTTTCTTCCTGCTCCGTTTCAATAAAATTTATCAAAATATACCCTACATATCAAAGACTGTTTAAGTTTGAAGTTTCAAGTAATGAAAGTGAATGCAAATTAAATATATATGACTATTTGTTAGAGGACAGGGTAAATATCAGTGTGTTACAAGTTAATAACAATAAATCAGAGGTCAAGATTGAACTAAAGGATGTCAATATGAACGATAATGGAACATACATGTTACTTGGCAGTGCACAAGAATGTTTTGTCTTATTTATTATGAGTAAGTATATTGTACATCAATATTTCATCACATTTCTCCCTTTGTTGTATATCCATTACCTACTTGTTTTCATTGTGCAGGTTAAATATGATAGCTGCATCGTTCTATATTAAACGTCTTTTTGTTAATGTTAGTGAAGTTGAAGACGGATTATTTAGTTAAATTTAGTCATGTAATCAGAGGAATCTGACATTAGTTTACATCTGTATGACACTGGTTCAGGAAAAAATGTGTTTGAGCTCGTCAGAGGCTCGCTTTTTTCAATTTTCTAAATTCGTTTCAAACAAAAACAACTTTACATGTACATTGTATATCAAATGACAACCCAAGTCATCTCGTATCGTAATCCAGCTAAATTAACGAAGAAATATCTCTACCCCCATCCCAACCACCCGGTTTATGTTGAATTAAATTGTTCTTTAAGGAAAAGGGTATACATGAACTGACATTGTTTAATGCAACATTTACGCTATTTGTACATTAACGACGTCCAAAACAACGAATCAAAATGTCCTTCCTATTCTAAAATTAAGGCGATAATCGCAAATTCTGTAAATAAAATAGCCTGTCTGAATGACTACAGTAACAACGACTTGTTCAATATCTAGCACCTTTTTGTTTATTTTTTTTTTTCGTTACCACGCCATCCAGTTTCAGTGCAGTTACGTAACATTTATGCTTTACACATTAAAATCGCGTCTGACATGTAATTACGGCGAAATGACAATGATTGAAAACAAAAGTACTTATAATTGTTAAATTCGACATGACTTTGATTAGAAAAATCAATTATATTTTGTAGTATTTTAAATTTCTCTGCTTAGCTACATCGCAAAAACATTATCTCCTTAAAATTATGCTAATTTAATTCCAATCCTTTCAGAATATGTGTTTAAGTCATTCGATTCATTCAAATAAACTCACAAGCAGTAAGACAAAAGAAAACTTCTTAGTATAACTTATTGCTTTTTTACTTTGCATGGAGAAATTGAACAGGAGCCTGGCAGAGCTTTGGAAGAAAATGAGCCAGTGAAAATACATGCGCACCCACTAGAATCTGTTATCAAGCGTTCTAAAAGTAACGCAACAATTGTTTGGTTGTTAAACGAAATTTCTATCGATCATTCAGCGTACTTCATCAAACAAGACGGATATTTGTGGATATCTCAAGTTAAAAAAGAGTTTAATGGAAAAAGTGTTACGTACCGTGTTATTCAAGATGGCACTATCATAGATGTCAGTTATATGTTGAATGTCAGATGTATGTATCTTCAAATTTACTTTTACTGATCTTATGTGTATCTCTTATATTTTTAATCGGAGTCATTCTGGCAAATACGGTTTGGTCTCAATCGTTTTAAGCTTTAAATGTGTAATCAGCGTTTATAAACAGACTCAACCACATGAGTCAATTTCCACCTTTTATTTTGTTTTTATTTCTTTTGAGAGATTCCTATTTGTAACAGAGGTTTATTCAAATCACCTGCGAAGCTAACTGAAAAACATTAATAAAGATGTTTAGGTAATATAATGCAATACATAGAGAATACTTTATCCTACTTGTTGTTGATTCATTGATGTTATCCTGCCTAATGTCAAGGTAAGTGGTAGTCTGTACATGAGGGATAATGAAAAAGTACGACATTCCTAATGCCCCTAGCAACTGCTTCAGCGGTACTCAATTTTCAACACTTATAGTGCTGGAAACAATGAAGATACTTAAGAGGACAAATGATGATGTTATTAAGGTACTTAATATATAGCTTGGTCAAGATTTCCAAAAAATCATACTTGTATTGTCTTAGGCTACTATGTACTTTAGGTCTTTTGTCTGCAGTTCAATGACTCAAGTATTTATTTTCTTTGACCATTGAAATTACACATAGGTTTATTGTCACCATTTCTGTCTCAAAACAATTACCTTTTAAGGTGATGACTGCGTTATTTCTGGGGTTCATATTTACATTCCGTATCCGAAAGTTAAATGAACCCTAATTAAACATAAATTACAAATGAGGGTGATCTCTCGACACCGATGAGAACAACAACATTATATGAACATTGCCGACTTAGTTCGATCGAGCTTGTTTATGGAAGATTACGTTAAACTGTAATATATTTCACGCCCCGACCAATAGCACCGACTTTAGCGTTTTTCAAACTCAATGTACTAAAGTCAAATGATTCCGAAGGACGAGACAAATATATCAACACTGAAATGAAGTACGGGGTAACTTTCTGGATATCAAAGAAATGTAATTTATATCTTACAAACTTAAGAAACTACAACTGTTACAACAAAGGTCAACAAAATTATTTACGTTTTGCTTATCCAATGAAAATCTAATATACCAACGTACAGCATGATTATAAAACTAGTACTTAATTCACGCATTTTGTTTAACAGTCAGTCATAAAAAGCATGATTAACACTTGAAACTCAAGAGTCTGGCTCATAGCACAGCGACAAGACAGAAAGTCATTCTCAACTGATAAAAAGGACTTTCGTCTTTAAAAGACATACCTGCATGTATTATGGAGACGATTTTGTTGTATATTTTAAATGTACTTAAGTGAGGTTAAAATTGTTTGACTTCTACTATAGCATGCAGAAACAAAACACACCTTACATGTAAGATCTCAATTATTAATGCATTTATACAGATGGACCAAGTTTCCCTCTAACCCTAACACCAGAAATCACACATTACAATCTTGTTAGTGGTGATGTGATGCCGGATATTATATGTACAGCTGAGTGTAATCCGCCATGTCATATTTCCTGGGGAAAGTCAAACTCTGGCGGACTATTGAGTTTGGATACCGTTACAACAGGCGACAGTGGGGAATATACATGTATTGCTACAAGGGCAGGTGGGCAGACTATAGAGCGGACTATAACTGTATTTGTTTCTGGTAATTGTTTTTTTTGTACTGAAAGATCGTTTTCTTATTGGATGTTATTCTTTTTTCAAAAATGATAGTAAACATTAGCTTTTTTCTAAGTCAATTTATGCTGAGGTGGGCGCAAATATAATAAAAAATTTAAAGTAAATCATGTTAATTTAAATAATCGTTGTTCATTTTTTAAACTCAATTTTAATCAGAACAACGATGATTTCTTGAAATAGAAATATAGAACAGTGTTCTCCTCCTAGTTGATGTTGTTGGTTGGAATAAACAGCCCGTGGTTTGCTGTCGTTAAACAATGCGACCACAGTAGTGTTATAATCAACTTTTTAAGACACTATAGTTAGACTGTTGATTCATGCAGAGCTTGTTTTATTGTTTTGCAGATGAATTTGTTTAATGTTTTGCAGACGATTCATCATTGGCCATAGAAGTGTTAACTTATATAGTAACGATACAAGTAATTGTTACGTTAGGGCTTGCTCTCTGTGTGGTCTTCATATGTAAGAGAGGACGAGTTGTATCTTGTTGTACGTGTTGGTATATGGTTAATACAGTATATAATGTATAATTATATATATTCAATTGAACCAGATGGTCATGAAAGCTTGAAGCTTAGTTATCCTATAATAACCATAATTAAGTCCGCTTTCTAAAACAAATAAATACTGTCACGTAAGAAAATATGGCCGTGATTTCCGTTGGTAAACTATGTTTCTTGGCTGAGAAGCAGACACCTTAACCATTAAGTAGTTTACTTGCTTCAATTGTGTCAATATGTACAACTATAAAGAAGTGAAGATGTGTTATGAGACATTTAAATGCTGCATATCTTTTACTTTAATATTTGTAAGACATTTACAGTCGGATCTATAGGGAAAATAATATGATTGTTGAGTTTGATTCTCGACAAGCACTTATTGTATCTAAGAGTATAGAGACATGAATTAAAGTTGAAGCAGAAACGAAGGACGAATATGAATTATTTAATACTGGTATACGAGCAGAATCTTGTAATAAAATAACATCTTATGAAATAAAATATCTTTCCATAAGTAATAAAAGCATTTAAAAAGAACCTTACATTTTTTATATAAATTAAAGGTTTTGATAAGACAAAGAACCCATCACAGAATGCACCAGGCACTTGCACAAATTCTACAACGTAAGTAAAAAATACTAGTTTCTGCCACTTTTAGAATGCTGGTATATGTTATTTTATGAAAGGGTAATTCTAGACCTAATTTGTACATTTGACAGGTACAAGTTTAGACAATTCAAACTTCATATTTATGCGCCAACGACCTGCTTGAAATTTCCGAAACTGGCATACTCTTGACATGCCATTCAGCATTAGTGACACCTAAATGTTCAGAAACATATTTGACATTTTTTAGTTCAGCATTTAGTATGATATGATGTACTGGAAGATGTTAAGGATTTTTATGCCCCCACAAAGTGGGGAGCATATAGCGTTGCACTTGTTCGTTCGTCCGTACGTCTGTCCGAGCAAACATTTTGGGTTTAGGGGCTATATAACAGTAAAGAGAACAAAAGAGAACAAAGGTTCATTCCGTGATGAAAGGGTTTAGGGGCTAGTAGCCCTTAAGATAACAAAGAAAATAACAAAGAAAATAGCCCCTAAAGCCAAAATGTGGGAACGTCCGTACGTCCCGAAATCTTGTGAACGCAACTCCTCTTAAACCGGATGACAGATTTTGCTTAAACGTCCAGGGATGAACAACCTTAATGTGTAGGTGGTAGTAAAGGAAGGAATTTTCGCTGCGACCAAATTTCACAGAACTATGGCCCTTTGTTGATTTTTTTCACTATATACTATGTAGAAATTTTGTGAACGCAACTCCTCTTAAACCGGATGGCAGATTTTGCTTTAACTTCCAGGGATGAATAACCTTAATGTGTAGATGGAAGTAAAGAAAGGAATTTTTGCTGCAACAAAATTTAACAGAATTATGGCCCTTTGTTGATTTTTTCACTATATACCATATATATGTTGTCAGTGGGGGCGTCCGTATTAAATTAAAGTGTAACAAAAAAACCCCGACAACTCTTAAGCTTGCACATATTCTTTAATGAAATACTGTACAAGGATAATATTACATACATATAGTTAAGTTGTAAGCAATTACTAGTACCTCAGTAAGTTTCTTTTTGAGTACGAAACTGTGATTTTTTTTATTTTTTTTCTCGATATGTTTATTCGTTTGTATAATTTCAGAATATGGCTATGAAAGGTGCGTAGAATATCTACAAGAGGAAATTGTATTCTGTTTTCTTCTTTTAACATTTTTCTCGACTTTTTATTTGTTAATTTCGTTTAAATATGAATAAATGAAATTATATGACTCACATATTTCATGTACTTGGTGATCGAAAATAAAATGTCAACCATGTTATGTTGCATGTATTCATGTCTATTATTATTAAAAATATCATAAAAATATTTCATTCTCTCCTTTCATGGATAAGAAATACTAATTTTTATGAATATCAAATTTGGACACTATTCAAATTGAGCACTTGATAGTAATATAGATGAACGTTTAAACATTTTTAATAAGGGAAAGCTGAAATTTACAATTGTTGAAATTGATTTTCAAAACCTGTTTATTTTGCAGGAAATAAGCGTTTTGGGAACATCGAGAGGTAGACAAAGCAAATAAAACAGCACGTTACAAGATATTTACAATAATTCTTTGGACATATAAGTATATCAATCTGCAAAAAGGCTTAACAACAAGTTCTACAATAAGAGACCGTCCCTGTGTTTAGAAATGTATCATTGCAATATCTGGAAAAAGTTGTTCTTCGGAATCATTAAAATCAGCAAAATAACAAGAAAATTGCCGGCTCGGTTTGATTGTGATAAGTATCAACACTTTGAAAAGTTCGGTGATAGGAACAGAAGAGAACAGAACAGAACTTTTATTTCTTTGATTTGTATATAGTACATCATTATATACAGCTTATAATTTCAGAGTAACAAATACATTTCTGTACGATCAATCATTGCAATAATATATATATATATATACACACACTAACAAATCTTTTAAGTGTGCATGTATAAATGGTTTAATATGCGTGTTATTTTTTGTATGATCATCCTGAAATTTTCATCAAATAGCGTTGAGAGATATGATATTCCATTTATTAAATTTCATCAGAAACACATAATTAATGAACATGCCCAATAAATGTGATAATGCGTTATAAGCCAATGTCACAAAAAATGATCATTAAAAATTATTAAAATATCGTTTGCCCACTTGGACTGTTAATTTCATCATGGCAGCGTTGTCGCATTGATTTGACCTAATCTTTTTCTGTAATATTTAGTTAGATTTATTCCATTTTGGACAATTTTCGCATATTCGTAGGCGATAGTTTGTGGCACAGTTCCAAAACGTCTTAAGGGGCAGTTCATTTCACTCACATTTCCGTATAGCTTCTATCACATTTAAGCCTAGATATTTTGGTCATATTCCATTACGTAAATGTTGTTAATAAATTTTCAGAAAGATAGTTGGCGCCCTTGACCTGAGTTTGTAAGATATCCTGAAGAAACTGCAATCATATGTTGTTCTTTAGACATAAATAAAATATTAGTTTGAAGCTCATCGTATTCGTTATGATCGGCGCTGAGATAATTGTAACTAAACCATTAATGAACACATTGTTAGTGTTCAGTCTATAGCTGAACATCCCTGTGGAAAGCAACAGACCTTGCCCAGTAACGAGCCAAGATTTCTTAAGATATAGTTAACAAATCTTATATATATATAAATAACAAATGACAAATGTATATCAGTGAAAATAGAACAAAAGTCAAATAAGACGAAACAAGTATATATCATTGGTGAATGTTGCATATACGGTAATATACGTGACATATTTGTCCACACTTTATTACGTTTAATTTTGAAACAGGCATCTGCTTTAGAATGGACGTTTTACGTAAGAAATATTATGCATGTATCTTTAAAAAGTATGCAAAAATGTCTTGTGTTAATATTATGTGTATTTGTTTTAGAGTACATTTTGTACGATTTGTTTTCTTTACATATAAAATGATTTATTCAACTAGAATTTCAATTTATATTGCATAATTCCAGTTTATTTTTTTTATAAACAATCTTTACAAGTTATATAAATGATGATATATATTTGCGAATAAAGAAACCGGCGAATCATGGGAAGAAACTCTGTCGAGAGAACAGATATAAGTATATAAGTACATAAGATTTATATCGCCTTTTTAAAGCAAACACCTGATTTACAGAATGATTTTGATAGAAAACACACCTGTGTCAATTTAAATAACAATGTGTTCGTCATTTTGAATGAAAATGTTTTCATATTACATAATAATTGTTGTTTTTTAAGTTTGCCATTCTTGTATTAAAAATTGAATGTTTTAGAAAGAGTAGACATTAAGATAAACAAAATAGAAATATAGTTGCGTTGAAAAAAAATGTATCAACATGCAAGAGAGAGAAAAAGTTCAGAAATGGAGTTGATAAAATAACAATATCAATGAAATAATGTGATTTGTAAGATTATATTAAACAACGAACATTTTTTTTACTCTATTTGGATATGTGGAGAATCAGAAGCATTCATATTTATTGCTACAAGAAAACTTATTCTTAGGTAAAAAAAGAACTTTCAACGAAACGCTCTTTCGCCGACATACTGATTTTCCATAATGCATGCATACACTAGTATATGATTATGTATAAAATTCAGAACAAATTTATGCTAAGGTTAGTAAATAAATTGAGATATTTAGCCATGATTTGAACGGTTTATGATATACACTCGATACGGAATTTAAAGAAAAGTTTTTAAATTCTTAAAAATATTGGATTTTATTTAGTGTCCATTTGACTAACATATATCAGCAACGTAGAATATGGAAAAATAAGGAAATTAAAAAAAAACAACACTTTTTTAGAGGTTTTAATAAATCCATACTTAACAAGCATATTGTTATCGTTTTATTAAAGTATACACAGTAATTATATAAGATTATCCACTCGTATTTTAAACTATATTATTGAATTGCAATTTTCTAAATGACACATATAATATATACATTGTTATAAATTGAACAAGTTACAATGTCACATTGTAAACAACGCAATTATTATACAACCTATAATACAAAATATATCTCAGAAAATTATTATAAACATCCAAATGTAATCAAATATAATGAATTGTTAAATAGTACCGACTATGCTACCTTGACATCTTTAAGTATGTTTTTTTATATATTTTGAAACAATAAGTTGATTTCTTCTTCTTATTTGAATTAAACAACTCGCCAGGTATACTTTACTATGATTGGTCAACGCTACCGACTAAATCCACAATTTTATGAATGAAATTCCTAGACTGACATGATTACTACAAATTAATCGTGCAACGCAAAAGTAAATCGTGTCTTTGTATATATACAGTTATTTAAGATAACTAGTTTTACATTTAGTATTATTACCTGATACCTTATATAAATGTAATTTGTTATTATTTACTGTTTTCTGAAATTCTAAAAACGTCAACGTTCGCGAACTGTTGAACAGTCAAACAGCTGTCCCTCGGTGTCGGGGATAGTGTTTTGAACTGTTGCCCTCGGCCTACAGCCTTGGGCAACAGTTCAAAACACTACCCCCTCAACCTCGGGCCAACAGTTTGACTGTTCTCAAATCACATATGAAATAACTGTATATTATTACCTGATACCTTATATAAATGTAATTTGTTATTATTTACTGTTTTCTGAAATTCTAAAAACGTCAACGTTCGCGAACTGTTGACCGGTCAATAGTTTCGACTGTTTCCCTCTCGTGCTCTGACGTCATTGACGTCATAGAGGATTCCCACTTGAAGCGTCCATCGATCTTGATCATAAACCAGACGTGACGTGACATAGTTAAAGTATTAAGTTTGATTATTAACATATGTGCAAAACTATTTTCTTGTTCGTTTTTTCTTCTGCAAGCACTATTAAAACAGTAGTTGATCAGGTAATAAAACAGTTATTTCATACGTGATTTGGGAACAGTCAAACAGTTGTCCCTCGGTGTCGGGGATAGTGTTTTGAACTGTTGCCCTCGGCCTACGGCCTTGGGCAACAGTTCAAAACACTACCCCCTCCACCTCGGGCCAACAGTTTGACTGTTCCCAAATCACATATGAAATAACTGTATACTGTTTTCTGAAATTCTAAAAACGTCAACATTCGCGAACTGTTGACCGGTCAATAGTTTCGACTGTTTCCCTCTCGTGCTCTGACGTCATTGACGTCATAGAGGATTCCCACTTGAAGCGTCCATCGATCTTGATCATGAACCAGACGTGACGTGACATAGTTAAAATATTAAGTTTAATTATTAACATATGTGCAAAACTATTTTCTTGTTCCTTTTTTCTTCTGCAAATACTGTTAAAACAGTAGTTGATCAGGTAATAAAACAGTTATTTCATGCGTGATTTGGGAACAGTCAAACAGTTGTCCCTCGGTGTCGGGGATAGTGTTTTGAACTGTTGCCCTCGGCCTACGGCCTTGGGCAACAGTTCAAAACACTACCCCCTCCACCTCGGGCCAACAGTTTGACTGTTCCCAAATCACATATGAAATAACTGTATACTGATCAGGAGAAGTAACTGCTGCGGGAGTTTGGTTCTCGGCATAAATTAAGCGCAAACAGTGCCGAAACTCATTCCAGTCGTCTCACATCAAAGGAAAGCTATATGAAATTATGATATTTTAGGGACATTTTAAAACGTTGTTAAAATCGCGAAAAAAAATGGTTTATGTTCAAGACATGTGACCAAGTCTTATGCAAAAATATTTTGACGTACGGTTTGCACGATAAAAATAGACATGGTGTATACACATGCGGATCAAGAAGGGGCGCCACGCACATAATCCCAAGTGTCTCTGATTATTCTAATGTCTCCAATTTTTAGTATGGAACTACTAGATGTAAAGAAGTACTAGTTGTGGGAAATTGACTTGTACAATTAATATAAATATAACTCATTTGTGTGCATGCTAAAATGCTCGGTTTTAACACTGTTCCCCTCGTGAAAGCTATTTAGTCAAAATTTTCATAACACTAGACACGCTGTTCTTATAAACTGCTGTTTTTGAAATATATTTTGCATGTCTAGTTCTATACAAATTGTTAAATACACCCACATATGTTTAATAATTAAATTATTCGTAAATTGTCTGCTGTTACATTATATGTAATCTTGACTATATAAAGAAATATTGTATTGTATTGTATTGTTAAATGCGTGTAATAAACGTATTTCGTATCGAGAGATCGGAAATTACTTTGTACCCATTTGGTCGTATTCTTAATTAGAGTGTTTTCTGTTGCTTTAAATAGATCCAGTAATGGAATCAAAGTAGTAGGTAGAACTTGCGTGTTCTGCTGGTACACATAGATAGAGGTTAATTATTCGTTTGTCAATAGTTAAATGTATAGAATTTCAGTCGAACTACATTTTGTTTGATATCAACATTCCTCAAATACAAAATCGAAAAGAAAGGCTGCCTTTGAATATCTTTTTAGATAAATTTAGCATTAACGTCTTGTCATCTCATACAGTCTTTTTCATTTTTCTTGTACTCCTACCTGACATGTTGTGAATTGTATGCGAAAGCCAGATAGAATTATATGCGAAAGCAAAATTGAATTATGCACGTAAGCCATATCAAGGACCTTTGCAACAATGGTAAATATATAGATTCAATCTGATGCATTATAAGGTAGCCTTTTCAATATTTGCAAACAATGTCTTTTTTTTAACATTTCGGGAGAATTAGGTGACGTTTAAAAACTAAAAAAAAGTAATATTGACATCTAGAAATTTACAATCATCTTCGTCGAAAAGTATACTTTGGAGGTATTCTAAATGTTTCTACTTATAGACGAAAGCTTAACGTTGAAACTATCATTTAAGCGTTTTTTTTCTGTTTGGCGATACTCTAGCTGCATTCTGAAGGGAAAGTATTTTTCTACGTAGTTAAAGTTAAGGTTTCGCTGCTTCAGCATAGAGACATTCTACTGGCAATGTTTGAAATGCGCCTAAAAATTGAAAACCTTGGTGTTATATATTATCGAGCATTTAAAACATATAATTTTCTTGCTAAAACCGTTTATTTCATGCTTTACAGTGTTTTACTGTATAATCACATTAAGGAAGCTTATGTTTTATGTATATGTTTTAATGGATAACATAAACAACTAGTCTTTTTACGCATTAATAAACATTGTTAAGGTGACGCAACCATATTACTATATTGTTGTATGTATGCTATGTATTTTGGGCCTGAGGCCTTTGAACACAAATAAAGTTATTTGAATCTTGAATCTTGAATCTTGTAATATATCAGATGATTATATTCTGATAAACCACTAGTGAAATTTATAAGATATAATTTTCACTGTAGCCGGACTATATCTGAAAGAACATCATATCTAAATGGTATAACAGGCAAAATTAAATGCTGTCATACGTAAATTTTGCTTCTTTAGGGAAAGAAAGTGGATGTCATCATACATCATGTTAAAAATGTAACAAAAAAAGAGAAAATTTAGAAGAACTATATTTCAAAATTTATGATGTGACGTCATGATGTGATGACGTCATAAAGGAGAATGCACGACGTTACGCGGCAAAATCAGTAAAAAATATTTGAAATCACTTTAAAAGCATGAAATAAAAAGAAAAATTATTTTGTTTTACATATAAGATGGAAATATATTTCATTCGTGAAAACCAGCTATTATATTTTCGCTCGTGGCTACGCCACACGTGAAAATATTGTATCTGGTGTTCACTCAGTGAAATATTAAGAGGATATTTTTTCGTTTGAGTGAAATATGGAATATATTTTCACGAAACATGATAAAAAGCCACATATTTTCACGAGCCGGGACGGCGAGTGAAAATATGAGGCATTTTATCATGTTGAGTGAAAATATATACCATATTGGAATATATTTTCACGAAACATGATAAAAAGCCACATATTTTTAAACGTCTGTACAGCGTTAATGACTGAATTAAAGATATTGGTGTTCGTATTTATTTTCTTAGTTAGACCATTTTCTATCATTCTAGATAGTTTTCAAAACAAAATTCAACAAAAAAGTTGTATGTATTTATCAGATTTTTCAAACAAAATGGCGAAAGAAGTCCCTTCAAATAAATATGAGTTTTGACTCCGCCCACTTTCATATTTATATTTCATATTTATTTTTAAAAAATATGAAATATATTTGACTGATATAGCACCATATTTCATAGGTAAAATTAAATAAATTTCAATCTTACATGCAAAACAAACAATTATCCTCTATAAAGAACTATAGAACCAGGCTCTGTTTGTATCGGATGTGCAATGCATTTAAAACTTTCAGACGTTTAGTTGTTGTGTTTTGTTTTTTGTTGTTGATTATTTCTTATAAATTATTTAATTTATTTGTTTTTGAGGCATAACGTGACTTTAAATCACGCAATGCCCCTATAATATATCAAAGCTTTATTTGCATGCAGTATTATATGAATAACGTGTTTTCTCAATACATTTACAAATTGCAAACAAGCTTGAACTGTAACTTCCGCATTCAGTTATTGCGTATTTAATATCATTTGACGCTTCAGTTGAAATGTATGGCCCGAATGAATATAATAAGTATATAATCGATTTCATATAATGACTTCCTGCTGAAAACTATTTTTATTATTCATTTTATATAGAAGCAGTTTGAAAATGTCGTATATTTTTTGGTTCTTAAATTTTACTGGATTTTTTGCATTACGTACAGTTGATGGATTCAGTAGAGGTAATGCTTTCAGAAAAATTAATTATCATTTGTATCAAAATATATTCACTTGTATTCAAAAAGTTCGTACAGGAGCAACAATGAGAGTCTTATATCCGGTAATTTCAGTTTGTGTATAAAACATTTGTTTATTTATTGGCTTGGTACGGAAGTTATGTATGCGTAAGGGAACAATCAGTATTTCGCATTTAACTTTCGATCAGCTTATATTCGAAGCGGTCCGTATAGAATATAGCGGATATTGAAGGTGTGTAGATTAAATACTAAATTAAACGAGTTGAATAAATTCATATTATGCGAGCCTCTGGCGAGCATAATATTGCTTTATACAACGAGTTCAGTAAATTTAGTATTGAATCTACACGAATATAATATTCTGTTTTTTTCACATATCTATAATACGAACGGTAAACTGTTAAAAAGAGTCATTTTTCATTGACTCACCTATATTTCTTGCACCTCAGACAGGATTATCTACCGTTTACACCGGTGCTAGAAAACTCTGTCTTACACCCCCATGTAAGACAAGTCGCGTGCTTTAAATGACGTCATTGACGCGCGCCTTTTATGAATGAATCGCGTTCTTAAGATGACGTCATTTTTCCGTTATGAATGAAATTGTATGTTCATACGCTACTATAAGAAAAAAGTGCGTAATGAGAATATCAGTTTTCATAATTTCTGTTCCGAAAATAATTGACATGTAATATGCAAGAAAAAGAATTAAACACCGGCTGTCGGTACCGACGGGAATATCTAGCTCTCGGGTAACTGTTTAGCGGAAACGCGGCAATGCCTCGTTACCGCTGTAAACAGTTACCCTCGAGCTAGATATTCCGGTCTGTACTGGCAGCCGGTGTAAGATTCTTATAGTGTAACGTTTACGTTAGCGCGCTTTTATGCTGTGTTTGTATATAACGCAAGTAACGTCACGTCAAAGTGTTATTAAAATGGTGTAATATCGTTTTTATTTGTTTGGGTCGTCAGACCAAACAAATAATGGTAGCGAAATTTCAGACCCTGATGTTTTTATTTGCAAATGCCGAAAGAAGTCCAAACTCCTCGAAGAGGTTATTTCCCTTCATATGTACACTAACGCCGAAAAATTAAGGGGAGATCACTGCGTAAAGATTGTCAAATGACAGGCGCATTAATTTTCGTAACGAAAAAATAGTTCACGATTGGTCGAAGATTTCTAATATTGTGTTATTCTTATAGATATACATGCTTATATTCAGCTCCATGATTATTTACTTCAGTGTTAAACAACATGTTTACCGTGAACAAAATATATCGAAATTAATAAGGGTTACAAACTCTAATTTAGAATAATATGGTATTCTTCAGACTGTTCTTCTAACTTCCCGTGGTAGAGGGGTTTTCTCGCTCGCTTTGGAATCGAGAGGTTTGGAGTTCAAACCCCAGTTCAGGCAACTCATGATTTTCTTTTTTTTGTTTAAGCCAAATAAACATTGAATTGAATATTAGTGTTGCAATTAGCCTTATAGCCAATTCACTATTGTTATATATATATAAACACTGGAAACAGCATTGGAGACACTATACAAACAAATTGGTTTATAATCATACAACCTTCACCGTTCTGACAATTTGAGACCCAAACAAATTCAGCGCCTTCTGTGCGTTGATTATTAAATGGCTTTATTTCACTTCTCTACCGCAGTTTATGTGATAAAATTCCATATTAACGTCATTTCCGACAAGAAAAGTAACTCTTCCTCGACGCTAATCCCTTACTTGAAAGGGTCTACAGTACTTTGTTGACACATATAACAAGATTGTGACCTATCTAACATAATGTGTGCTAGAGATAAGTGTTTTGTAGGCAATCTACAAAAATATGGTTTAAGGTTTGATCCGTTATTTTTTGTTTGTTGTTGTTGTTGCTTTCTTTTGTTTATTATTGTGTTTATATTTTGTTTATTATTATTATTATGATTATTATGATTATTATTATCATTATTAGTATTATCATTATTATTATTATTATTATTATTATTATTATTAACATTATTATTTTTATTATTATTATTATTATTATTATTATTATTATTATTATTATTATTATTATTAATATTATTTTGTATATGCCTTTGTAATTCGCCTTATTAGAACGGTAACGCAATGCCATGTATAATTTGTCCTATTGACTTGTATGCTTACTGATCTTTGATGAAGGTCTTAATAATATCAGCTGAGTAGCTTTGCTGTCTTTAAATTTAAAACAAACTCAAATAAAGTACTCTGTTTGTAGCAAGTATCTGCTAAATTGAAAATAAAATAAACGGAACAGGAAATTGTTTATTACTATAAAAGGAAGTCATCATTTAGGCAAAAATAAAATAAAAACTAACAAATAATGCACTAATGTATGCAATCATGTGATATATTTATTTATCAGTGTTTCAATTTAATATCTGTATGTTTACAAATAAATGTATTTTTACCAAGTGTACAATTATAGGCAAATGTATTATTTTATGTGAAAAATACGTGCTCAGTATGTTATACTTTACTTGCTTCTCAAACTAAAACATATCATCATTCAGTCAACTCACAATTCTCGTTTCACATATTCCTTTTTATTACACTTTTCTTTCTGTATTTATTCACAGAATGCGATTTCAATCAAACGATATTTACACCAGAGGGAACAACAGCAACTTTTCTGTACAACGTCACTGACTTCCTATCATTTGAAATACGTATGGAAAAGGTGTCGGGATCAGCTAAAGGAAATCTTTTCAAGGTTCGTGTATCCAACGCATCTACAATAGATACTTCCTATGGTACTATTGTTTGGAAAAACAGATTAAACATAAGTTTTGTTTCTTATTATGATGTTCCATTCAGTCTGAAAATTGATTTAAATAACATCAGTATGGAGGATAATGGGACATACGGAATACTTCATCTTGCTTTCTTTCCTGGTGGTATCGCCTGTTTTGTCCTTTATGTCATGCGTAAGTATTACATGTAACTATTAAACTGAAGTCGAGTTTATGTTCCTTCAATCGCATTAAATTATTTTCAAACTAGATGTATTTAATCTAATGAAGCCTCTTACTCATTTTATAAATAAAAGAAAATTACCACATTTGAACAGCAAACAGATATGTTTTTTTTTAACTTAGTGTAACAGATGGCATATAACGAACAAAAGAAAACTACTGTAAAATCATTATCATTCGTGGGGCACGAATTTTCGTGGTTTTCGTGGGTAGGTCAATCCACGAATTTAAGATCCGACGAAATTTTATCCCAACAAATACTTTTTACCCTGTTTCTGTCCTATATATTACAAACATGCGTCGGCTCTTTTCCGACCAATTTTCGTGAAATAAATGTATATACATACTTACATGTACAGATAATCAGGTAGTGACAGATTAAATCCGTTTGCAATATTTAAGAAACTTGATAAAAAACTCGATTATAATTATGTCCTTAATTTACTGTCACAAATGTCGGTCGCATATACACACTTGATTGTTGTTAGAATACTTGACATAATCGAGTAAATATGGGAACCCAGGCAATCCAATTAATTGGCGCTTATAAAAAATGTCAGTTTGCTCATAATATTAATTAAAAAAAGTCTTTGATATTAATGTCGTAAATACACAAAACGATAAAAAACACAATTGCTAAAACAGATGAATAGCACTTTCTTTTGTCGTTTTTAAATGATCCAGTTTTACTAGATCCACACATATTTGTGTTATTACTCAGATTAATTTATATGCATGTCAATCTACACAGTCGCTGTGACGTTGCGTGTAGTTACTGTCAAATATGGTAAAACCAATTCAGGGTGTAAACTTTTTAAACTCGCTGGTTAAAACGTGTTAGATGTCGTTTAATTATGTGTGTGTGTTTGGGTTTGTTTACCCTCGCCACCGGAAAGAGACCATATGGGCGAGCATATACTTCATTTATAACCTTTTAAAAAGGGGGAGCTGATGTTTAATTACTTTTTGTTATATCCGTACATGTGTTTATGTGCATACCATATCCCCCATGACAGGGTAGTCTCTACGTACAACCTCTGCCATGGGAGGAAGATGGGGCAATCCCATACTAAGATTAAGAATTCTAAAATTTAATTTATTAAAAAGCACTTATTTTAAAATTGGCCAAGACGTTTATAGCAGTTACCGTCTTTTATAGCAGGTCTATCTAATATTTAGTTATAACTAAAAAAATTTAAAATATTACCTATATTGTAGAGTTCGCAGACTTGCGAAGAAGGCATGTCAGGAACGTTTTCTGACCAATTCATTGTGGGCTGACTGTTGGTTTCTATTTAAATGTTATAAACCGTATACATTGGGATGCATATAATTAATTACATGTTTGTAATTAGCAGAGTTTGTTTTTAATTTTGTAATTTTTGTAAGTTCTACCGAACACCCGCTTTATAAAGTTAATTTTAATTGGTTTAGAGAGGATTGCCTCCTTTGTTCTCATTGGCCGAAAATTCTCTGTTTACAAAATAAGGAGGTCAATCCGGTTTTGTGATAATTTGCAAATTTTCTTAATTTTCGGATTGACCTATATCGACAAGTTTGTCGCGCGAACGGGATAGAGATTTAGCAGGTGCCCGTTGCATCCAATGTATACGTGTTTTTACCAACTTTATTTCAAAATTAAAACAAATATGATAGTTAAAATGTGGTGGAAACGGCCTTATCTATTTATCACTGTCTCATGGTCTATAAATTATTATGCATCTAGATATCACACATAATAATTAATCTTCTATTACTTAAACAATTCATAGAAGAATAAGAAAAAATCTAAGTCCCAAATATGGCTAATAATAATAACTTGGTTACCCATAATGTGATGAGATAGTCTTTATGTAACATATTTAAGAAAATCTCATGCTTGAGTGAACCCGTGATAAACGTATTGCGCCATATGGGGGCACGGGTTCACGTTTACTAGTATTAAGGATACTAGTTTATATATACAGGAATAAAAAAGATAGATAATAAATAACACGGGGCGGGGGGCAAAGGGATATATACAATATGGAGTCTTTTTTGACATTATGGGTAATCTGTAGCCAGCACCTCCCAATTTTGATAATAACCATGAGACTGTATGGTAAAAATAGTCTAGTGCACAGCCTATTTAAGAAATTATTCAATTAAAATTACATAGCAATAAATTACAAAATAAATAAATAAATAAACTTCTCAATAGCACCGTTTCACGGCCACTTATTAGGGCCACTTTTAAAAATAAACACTTAAAATAGGTTTTGTACACTTTATACAATGGCTGTGCACTGACTCAAAAATTTAAAATATAAAATATTTGTCCAAACTTACATACAGTATCCTATACTGTAGTATATAACTTAGGCAACTACCTCTCGCGTAATGTTATTGTGTTCGCGTCTTAACCTAATACATCAAAAAGTTTTGTCTAGTTAGACTACCTTGTATTTATCTTGTAAAGTTTCATTTTACGGCATTGATTATATCTTAATACATTCATCTTTTTGCTGGAGAAAATGTGAGCTCGCGGACCACGCACTAATAAATCACTCAAACCTTTATCAGAATCGGATAGATGGACCAACCACCACACATATAATGATGTTAAACGAGACGAAAAGTACTTTAAATTTACGAAATTAGAGAAAATAAACCTTTTACTGTACACGATAATTGTAACCAATCATATTGTTGTATTTCTGTTAATTTCTGTTAATTTGAGAATACTTCAATTTCATTGGTTGTTGGAAAATACCATAGAAGAAAATATGAAAAATTTCCTTCGCGAATACCTTATTTTATGAGCCCATAATTTTATTGATGGGGACATATTGATAAAAGAAACCATTTTTCTACAATGTCCAGCATTATTATTTAATGAAAAAGTGTTTGGTTTTGTCAGATCTTATTCATATTATAAGATCTGATACCCCATTTTCTTCTTTTCGTGTTGGATAGAAAATGAGGTGAATTAACCTATTGGATACGTCAATTTGTACATTCGATAAATTTTTATTCTGATATTGAAATAGCTTGAAAATTGTTTTCTACAATGTACGTTATATGTATTAAATGATAAAATATTCCAAAACATTATATCTGATCTATACAATCAGATCTGATTAATTATGCGATGTTTACATCGGTGAAATAAAGGGGCAGTGTGTGTAATGGAGGTGCATATCATGTCACATAAATGTGTTAATTGCAGCCAATTATCGGCAGTAACTGTGCTATATTAGAGTTATGCCCAGAGGCAACGATTAAATTTATTGTGTGACACATAAAGATATGTACATGTTGTAAGTAAAAATGTTCGGCGATTAAGTTAAAGATTACTTTGCATTAGGTTACTAAATTTTTTACAAGAAAATGAAAATCCACGAATTTAAGAACCCACGAGAATGCCCGTTTTGATAAAACCACGAAATTTCATGCCCACGAATATAAGTGAATTCACAGTATTTTATTTTTCTAAGTTCATGTGAAACAATTGAAAGTAAACATTACTACTAAATTTTATGCATACCAACTTGAAGGAACAAGAATTAAGCCAAGTCATAGTCAAGAAGAAAATGACGCAGTCTATGTGTTTGCACATCCGCAAGCTTCACTGATAAAGCGGCCGTTAACGAACGCAACTATGATATGGTTATTAGATGGTAAATCTAAAAAGGAAACAGCCAGTTTTATACAAAAAAATGGACTTATTTGGATACCTCGTGTTGGAAGAGGAAGGAATGTTACCTACCGTGCAATACAAGATGATGGAAGAATCACTGATGTGAATACCACAATAAAAGTTAGATGTATGATCAATGTTCTATCTCACTATAAAATACCATGGTATATATATCGCCTCAGTAAACGGTTAAACAGATTCTTGTATGTGTAACACAAAAACAAATGCAAAAGTGTTCCATTTAAAATTAGCAGCAAAATATTTTTTCGTATATTTTTTGTACATTTTGCTCATGTTTAGGATCAAAATATAAGGGTTATGTTTCATACAGTAATTCTCAATTTATCGTGTTATATTTAGTAGAATACAAAACCGATTAATACTCATATTCATCAATTTTTCATCACGTTTGTTATGATCATCACTACTAAATCGTCATCTTTAACGGATTGATTTTTAGCTCACCTGAGCAATGCTCAGGGTGAGCTATTGTGATGGCCCTGTGTCCGTCGTGCGTCGTCGTGCGTCGTCGTGCGTCGTGCGTCGTCAACTTTTGAACATTAACAACATCTCCTCTGAAACTAATGACTGCACATCAACCAAACTTTACAGAAATGATCCTTGAGTGGTCCCCTTTCAAAGTTGTTCAAATGGTTCCGGTCTGTTGCATATGTAGGTCATAGGGCCAGAAAAGGATTTCAAAAACACAAAATTAAAAATCTTCTTGTCTGAAAGTACATGGGCCAGAGCTTTGATTTTTGGTATATGGTATCATCTATGGGTCCTCTACCAAACTTGTTCAAATTTTGTTCCTAGTGTCAAAATTGGCCCCGCCCCGGGGGTCATAGGTTTTTCCTTTAAGTTATATGTATATAGTAAAATCTAAAAAAGTCTTCTTCTCTGATTTGGCAAAGGCTACAGATTAGATATTTGGCATGAAGCATTGTGTAGTAGACCTCTATCAAGATTGTTCAAATAATGGCCCTAGGGTCATAATTGGCCCCGCCCCGGGGGGTCTTTGATTTTCATTACATACATATAGTGAAAACTTGAAAAATCTTCTGGTCTTAAAGTAAATGCCCTAGAGCTTTGATATTTGGTCTATGGTATCATCTGAAGGTCCAATACCAAAGTTGTACACATTTTGTCCCTAGTGTCAAAATTTGCTCCACCCCGGGGGTCATAGGTTTTTCTAATATGTATATAGTAAAACATAAAAAAATCTTCTTCTCTGAATTGGCAAAGGCTACAGGTAAGATATTTGGCATGAAACATTGTGTGAAAGACCTCTACTAAGATTGTTCAAATAATGGCCCTCGGGTCAAAATTGGCCCCGCCCTCGGGGGTCATTGATTTTCATTATATACATATAGTGAAAACTTGAAAAATCTTCTGGTCTGAAAGTAAATGGCCTAGAGCTTTGATATTTGGTCTATGGTATCATCTATAGGTCCAAAACCAAAGTTGTTCAAATTTTGTTCCTAGAATTAAAATCGGCCCCGCCCCCGGGGGTCATTGATTTTCCCTATATGCATATAGTAAAAACTTAAAAAATCTTCTTTTAAAGAACCCAAAGAGCTAGAGCTAAGATATTTAGCATGAAACATCTTCTAATGGGTGTCTACCAAGTTTGTTCAAATAAAAGCCCCGGGGTCAAAATTGGCCCCGCCCAAGGGGGTCATTGATTTTCCCTATATGCATATAGTAAAAACTTATAAAGTCTTCTTTTAAAGAACCCAAAGAGCTAGAGCTATGATATTTAGCATTAAAACATCTTCTAATGAGTGTCTATCAAGTTTGTTCAAATAAAAGCCCTGGGGTCAAAATTGGCCCCGCCCCAGGGGGTCATTGATTTTCTATATATGCATATTGTAAAAACTTATAAAATCTTCTTTTAAAGAACCCAAAGAGCTAGAGCTAAGATATTTAGCATGAAACATCTTCTAATGGGTGTCTACCAAATTTGTTCAAATAAGAGCCCTGGGGTCAAAATTTGCCCTGCCCCGGGGTCATTGATTTTCCTTGTATGTGTAAAGCAAAATATTTAAAAAAAAACTTATTTGAAAAAAAAAACAACAAAAAACAAATAGCTAGAGTTAAGATATTAAGCATGAAACATCTTCCAGTAATGTTTTCAAAGTTTGTTCAAATAAATGCCCTAGGGTCAAAATTGGCCCTGCCCCGGGGGACATTGATTTTCCTAAAATGTGTATAGCAAAAACTTAAAAATCTGATTTAAAAAAACCCAAATAGCTAGAGTTTAGATATTAAGCATGGAACATCTTCTAGTGAGTGTCAAATGGGGTCAAAACTGGCCCGCCCTAGGGGTGTCATTGCTTTTAACTATATGTGTATAGTTAAATCTTAAAAGATTTTTAAAAAAAAAACACAACGAGCCAAACCTTAGATGTTTAGCATGAAATATCTTCTAATGGGTGTCTACCAAGTTTGTTCAAACAAAAAACCTGGGGTTTAAACTGGCCCCGCTCTGGGGGCCTATATACAGGTGAGCGACTTCAGGGCCATCATGGCCCTCTTGTTTCTAATATGTTTCGTTATATAATACAAATAAAAATATTATATAGTCCAGGCCTTCCTTTTGTTGTATTGTACACTTTAAGGTTAATAAGTCATACATATTTTGTATAATTCAAATGAATAACAGACACAGTTTTGAGCATATTCAAGTTCTTTTTTTTTCATAATAGGAACTTTAAACATGACATGATTTAAATATGTTATTTGACAATATGCGAATCAGCATTATGTGAAAACAAATAATTGTAGATTTCAAATTATTTCAATTTTCTTGATATGATTATAGATGGACCAAGCCATCCGCTAAAAATGGTGCCGAGTAAAACACACTACAATATGATGAGTGGAGACACCATGCCTGCTATCATATGTACCTCTGAGTGTAATCCACCATGTAACATTTCCTGGGGAGAACATAGCAAATACAACATTCTGAATATAGGAGTCGTTACCACAGAAGATACAGGGGAATATACATGCACAGCAAAACGTTCTGATGGCCGCATTGTTGAGCAAACAGTCAGTGTTTACGTTTCTGGTAATTATCTTATCATATTTCAACCAACAGTTATCATTTTTCTAACAACATAAATGGATTCGTGATTCGTGATCGTACAATTTTCTATATTTGAGATAATAGTATTTTTTAATTTGTATCATTAAATACAGATTTTTATATATGATATTAAACTTTTCAGTATTATATCTTATGTAGATAACTCAAATTTCATCATAGCGATTGCATGTTTGGCTAGTGTGCAAGCAGTTATGATTCTTGTGATTGGATTGTGTACGTTTGTCATTTACAAGAGAAAAGATTCGTCATGTTGTCATGTCCGTAAGTTTATTTTTTATAATTATATTTTTTGTTGTTGTTGCTTTTTTGATGGTGATTCTATTGTTGTTTTAGTTGTTGGCGGGGTGGTGGTTTATGTTTGCTGTTGGTTTTTTTTAATTATGACCCCCTTGAAAGAAGAGGGTGTATATTGCTTTGCATTTGTCTGTCGGTCGGTCCGTAGACCAAATGGTTTCTGAGTGATAACTAAAGAACGCTTAGGCCTAGGAACTTCAAACTTGTTGTAATGATTGTTCATGACCAGCACATGACATCTTTTGATTTTGGGGTCAAAGGGTCAAAGGTCAATGTCACATTGACCTTGTAGGTAAAAACGGTTTCCGAGTGATAACAAAAGAACGCTTAGGCTTAGGAACTTCAAACTTGGTACGATGATTGTACATGACCAGCAAATGACTGCTATTGATTTTGAGGTCAAGGGGCCAAAGGTCAAGGTCACATTGACCTTGGAGGTAAAAACGGTTTCCGATCAATAACGAAAGAACGCTTAGGTCTAGGAACTTTAAACTTGGTATGATAATTGTTCATGACCAGCAGATGAACACCTATTTATTTTTGGGTCAAGGGGTCAAAGGTCATGGTCACATTGACCTTGTAGGTAAAAACGGTTTCCGATCAATAACTTAAGAACGCTTCAGCCTAGGAACTTCAAACTTGGTATGATGATCGTTCGTAACTAGTAAATGACCCCTATTGATATTTGGGTCAAGGGGTCAAAGGTCAAGGTCACATTGACCTTGAAGGTAAAAACGGTTTCCGAGTGCTAATGAAAGAACACTTAGGTCTAGGAAATTCAAACTTCGTATGATGACTGTTCAAGACCAGCAGATGAACCCTATTTATTTTGAGGTCAAGTGGACAAAGGTCAAGGTCACATTGACCTTGTAGGTAAAAACAGTTTCCGAGTGATAGCGAAAGAATGCTTAGGCTAAGGAACTTCAAACTTGGTATGATGATTTTCATGACCAGTAGATGACCCCTATTGATTTTGAGGTCAAGGGTCAAAGGTCAATGTCACATTTACCTTGTAGTTAAAACGGTTTCCGATAAATAACGAAAGAACGCTTAGGCCTAGGAACTTTAAACTTGGTATGATGATTGCTCATGACTAGGAGATGAACCCTATTGATTTATGGGTCAAGGGTCATCGGTCAAGGTCACATTGACCTTGTCGGTAAAAACGGTTTCCGATCATTAACGAAAGAACGCTTAAGCCTAGAAACTTCAGACTTAGTTTAAAGATTGTTTATGACTAGCAGATGACTCCTATTGATTTTGGGGGTCAAAGAGTCAAAGGTCAAGGTCACATTTACCTTGTAGGTTAAAACGGTTTCCAATCAATAACTTAAGAACGCTTAGACCTAGAATCTTCAAACTTGATTTGATGATTGTTCATGACCAGCAGATGATCCTTGTTAATTTTGGGGTCAATTGGTCAAAGGTCAAGGTCACAAAGACCTTGTAGGTAAAAAAGGTTTCCGAGTGATAACTAAAGAATGCTTAGGCCTAAGAACTTCAAACTTGATATGATAATTGTACATGACCAGCAGATGACCCTTTTTGATTTTGGGCTCAAGGGGTCAAAGGTCATGGTCACATTGACCTGAAGGTAAAAACGGTTTCCGATCAATAACTAAAGAACGCTTAAGCCTAGGAACTTCAAACTTGGTTTGATGATTGTTCATGACCAGCAGATGGCCCCTATTGATTTTGGGGTCAAGGGTCAAAGGTCAAGGCCATATTGACATTGTAGGTACCAGTAATTAACCCTTATTGATCTTTTTGTCACTTGGTCAAAAGTCAGTCATAATAAACTGATCACATGATTATTTGGCTGCCGATAGGGGGCATACATATTTTACAAACATATCTTGTTTCAATTTCATTATGGCATTGTTTTTATCACACCGTAATATGCCAAGTAATTCCTTAATAACTCTTACAAGATAAGTAATTTTAAAATAGACTACAACTTAGTAATAACGTAGTGTTACCTTAAATCGTCACGTCTCTTTATAGATAGCCATTGTTGTAAAAAACAAAAGAAAACAGCCGTCATTTTTTTAGCACTGAGATGGTGTTATTGTACATGTTTGATCGTTATTGTATCAGGAGTTTTATAGTGAACAGGTTAACATATAACGAACTGATTTTTTACCATCGTCATCCATTTTGAAGAGCATTTTGTTAAGAAAAAATATTCATTTGGGTTCGTCATTGTTGTCATCCTTACATTGATTTAATATAGAAAAAAAGAAATAATTGCAATGTTTTTTTATATATAATTTTTATACATCAGCTTTTTTTAAAGAATAATGCCGCTGTTTGGCATACTACTGACTCTGACATTTAAATCTCTCAAAAATTGCCGATTATATATTATCGTATTATCCTGGTGAGGATATGACGTTTGATACTCCTGTAGAATAATTTTTTTTAGACATAATACCCGAGAGCGTACTTTTTGAAATTTGAAAATCATGTGCTATTTCAGGTTTAGTTTTACTTCCTTTCTCAATTTCTCGTAAAATATCATATTTATTTTTAAACTCAGCGCTTTTCGTTTCCTTTCCATGATTAAGAATAACCAATATTTCTAGTTTTCCTTCCTTTTTTATTTTAATATCTTTTATCATATTTCAAGGCTACCCTCCCACACAAAACGGGTCTTAAAACATCAACATATTGTTAACCGTTATTAAATTTGCATACAAGTAAAATATGGAGTTTCCACGAGATGACTGTGATCTAACGGCTGTTCTATTGCACTTGACACAGATATAAACACCCCTATTAACATTCCCATTTACATGTAGTTAGTGCAACAAGTTGGTGCAGGTAGAATTTACTAAATAAATGTCAGTTTTAAACCGAATTATCAAAATTTTTCCTTCTTTTGTCTATTTTTGATATATTGTTTAACAGTCGATTGCAGGATAAAATAATTACCAAGCGCACAACTTTTCTACCCTCAACCAACTGATCTTCTTGCAACCAGTTAACGGGTGTGTTTATAATTTAAGTCTAGTTTTACAAAATAAAAATTTGCAACAGTTTAAAATTACAGCATGGTAAACATTTCAAAAACATAACTTAGATGTTGTTTCAACGGACAAGAAATGTATTAATCATCTAGTGCCATATAAATGTACCAGTCTGTGGTGAACATTTTTCTTTGATGACATTTTATATCAAAATAGCTAAAACTACCTTGTGTGGAATAGTAGCTTTAAGTAAGGGTGACTTTTACTTATGGAATATATTGATTTCTTTTCATTTCAATTAAGAGTACTTTGTACTTTTCTATGGATTTTGCTCAAGAAATAGCATGGGTAATTATGTTGAAACCCGATTGTAAATGACGTTATCGTAAAAAAAAGAAATATTAATCGAATAAACTGAATAATCGTTTTATCTTGGTGTCAAAACTCATGCAACGATATCCTAAATAGTAAGCTATTTCGTACTGCTTATGTAAATTTTTCATAGTTTTCATACTTGTATTGAAGTACATTCAACAATAAACGGTACATTAGACAAAGTATTAATCCGTGCTAATGCAAACGAAAGTAGAAATGCGGGATCTATTTACGGATAGCCGATATTTAATGTCATCGGTATTTTGGAGTTCGTTATAAAAGTGTAATGTTCTCTACTGCGAACTTAATTGGGATTAAACAATGAGTTCCTAACAATAGATAATTCCTTATATCCGTATTCGCTATCAATGGGCTAAATTCGAGCCAAAATAAAAATTGTTCCATATAACCGGAAGTTCGCTATAAAAGTGTCCGCTATTAGTGATTTTTTCTGTAATGAGATTGTGATTTCCACTTTCGGATTTCAATAACATTGTTATTTCTTAATTAGACTAGTGTGCCCGATGTATAAGATATAAGTTAAACATCTTTTCCAAAATAATTCGTTGATTATTTGTTTAATATAAATCACTAACATAGTTAGCTCTTTCTTGCACATGAAAAAGAGTTTATTGGTTTCAGAGTGCAATTTCAAGAACAAAACTGATAGCAGAGACGTCGCATTGCAGTTATCTTCCGTGTAAGTAAATTTTGATTTATATGTACGTACATGTTACTTAAACGCATCAAAACTAATAGATCACAGAGTAAATATTATTTATTATTGTAATAATCCTTCAAAATAGAGAAAAATATAATCCCTAAAGAACGCCGAAAACGAAAAAATTGAAAATGTTGCAGGCTCGGTTTGATTAAGCCAGTCCATGAACTGTACTTGAACATGCAAGTTACCTCCACGCCCCCTGTCATCGGCTTAAGCGAGACTCAACATTTAAACATGAAAATGGTCACATTTGGAATTTCAAAACATCCGCAGATGTTAATATTGCGGTTATCATGGAACTTTCAATTTTACACTAAGTACATTCCATGAAAAGCGGCGTATTGTCCCCAAGTAATAGAACGTGTGTATCCTAAACGAAAGAACAAGGGGCGGAACTTAACAAAATGAAAATTTGAAAGGAAATTAGAGGTAATGAAGCCTGTATATTACAGATAACACGTCAAAAGACAAATTTATAAAGCAGGCAACATATCTTAAGGGTGATTCAACAACAATCAATTAGAAATATTGGAACCACCGCTTTATAAGTATTTCAATCCAACATTAACGATATTTTTCAGGATTGTGAAACATGAACAATGACATATTTTATATTTTATATTACATGTATGCTCATTTTTTAACATTTTAATGAGTATATAATTTGCAGGCAAGGATCTGAGAATGCGGCCTATGAAGAGCTGAAACATGAAACAAGAAACAATGTTGACAATATGTACAGTGAGACTAATCTCTCTACAACAGGTATTTACGATTATTTGATATAATGTTTAACTACTGAATACGAGTACTTTTTAAGTGAAATTCAAATAATTCATCGGAAACTGACTGAAAATATTAGGAACATGTTCATGCATTAAATTTTTTAGAGTCTGACCTGACGCTCATTGAGTTGATGATCATTTGAAACATTTTTTTATCAATTGACTGAATGTTGCACTATTTTGTTTATTTGTTGTGTTGAAATGGTTTTTATAAAAGTGTAACTGTCGACACGACTAATTGGTACGGAAATAAGACGTAATAAGCGTTATATATTTCAGAGGATAGAGCTGTCGGTATGACATACGAGAACACGAATTTTTCAGGATAAACAAACACAAAAGATAGAATGTTTTATTTTCGTCCATCAATCGTTTACACAGCGTTATATATGTATTCAATTGTAGTATTAAAAAGTATATAATTGTAGTTTCAAAATAACATGTTGTAATAATAAAGTTCTAATAATGTAAAAAAATAAAGGATCGCAGAACAAACAGACAATGTTTCAGGCTGTTATTACAAATAGACATTTAAATAGCATATATTAATTTATTTCTCCAAGATTGATGAGATATAATACCACACTTCTTTAATAAAAGAGACATTTTCTATACATGTATAAAAATGCATGACAAAAGTTGAATATAATACGTAGATTAAATGCGCTACAAGCAATATGTGATTCATATTCTGAATATTGTCTAATATTGTTCCTTGGAGATATGAATGCTGAAAGCATGTCACTAAACTCGCATCTAATCATAGCCTTAACATTTCTTGGAAAAAATGACTTGACGGTAACTTGCAATTTCCATTACCGTCCATGAACAGGCTCAATCAAACCTAGCCTACAACTTTTTACAATTTTGCCGTGTTGGGTTTTCTTTAGGGATTCTGTTTTTCTCTATTTTTTGATATCTCTTGTACATTTACCTTATTGCAGTAGTATTGCAGAGAAAAAACAGCGATGGTTTGTCCCAGATATTGTAACCTATTCTTCGGAAATATAATATCTCAATGTATTTAATAAAGTTTATAGAAACTGGTGTTTTTCCATCAAAAGAGACATGGAAAATATTATGCAGAACAAAACTAAATATTTTTAAAACAGTAAAAGAATGATCCTTAGAATGATCAAGGATGGTGACTTTTTGGGCTTTCTTTAGGTTTTCTGTTTTTTTCTGTATTTTATAGATTTCGATTTTTACAAACCAACATAGGGAGATCATTTCTATGGGAATTTCAAATAAATCAACAAGCTTAGAAACAAATAAACGCTGCTCATATTAGCCAATTATGGATTAGCAAATATAATAATACAAACATTACTTCAATGTATCTTGATTGTGGAACACTGTGCTATGGTGTCATAAAACATATTGAAGAAGACATTTTTCGTGAAGAATTGTTTAAAAACTGGTTTAATTTATTTGGCAAAGAGGTTGTTTCAGAAATGTTATTTAGTGATAGCGACACTAAGTTAAAGAAACGTTTAGGCAGACGTCCATCATTACAAAACAAGAATGATCATAAACATATTTTTTAAGAATAGCAATCGTATTACAAATGCACGAAGTATACTTTTTTTT